CCCTGTGACCAAATAAGATTGTAAAGGCGTAATAGGACTGCAAGGGCTGACTGATGTAAATGTTGTAGCATATGAATATGAATGTCGTCGGGCCCAGCTGCCGATGATCGGCAAGCTGAGAGTGTTGCCTCCAGTTCTTGAAGTGTAAAAGGCACATTATACTGTTCTTCTCTGAGAGAATAAAAGTCCAAGGGTGCTAACTCTCTGGCAGACTTTGAGGAAAGAAATGAGGGGCATAGATGGAGTCCCTGAGAAATACGGACCAGATGATTGCCAATTTCATTGGCAACATCTAGTGGGTTTGCTATATCAACACCGGCAACCCGCAGAACAGGAGCCGGGTCAGGAGAATATTTACCACTCAGTTCTCGTACTTTTTCCCAGACTGCACTCATAGAGGAAGCAGAGGTGATGGTGGAGACAATCTCGCCAGCAAGTGCGTTTAGCGTCACGGATGACACGGCGAGCGATCGCACGCTTCTGCTTAAATTCAAGAAGTCTCTCTGTGGTTCTATTGTACCGGTACCTGCCCCATGCAGCGCGTTTCAAATGTACTGCACGAGCACAAGCAGGAGACCACCAAGGCACGCATTTCTGAGAATGCCTGCCCGAAGTTTGGGGTATAGAATGAGAAGCTGCGGTTAAAACGGAGGATGAGAAGAGGTGTAAAAGCTCATCGATGGAGGACGAAGAAGGAACCTCTCTAAAAGCAGTTAGGTGTGAGTAAAAATTCCAATTTGCCTGATCAAATTGCCAGCGTGGGATGCGAAGAGGTGGTGAATATGAAGGGAAAGTAATAATGATTAGGAAATGATTGCTGTCATGTAAGTCCGGAAGAACAGACCAAGTGAAGTCTAATGCGGCGGAGGAAGAGCAGACAGAGATCGATGCAAGAGAGTGAGTGAGTCCGAGGATCATAATGGGTGCGAGTACCTGTATTTAAAACATGGAGGGGGTGGGTGACAAGAAAAGCCTCTTAACTGAATGCCACGGGAATCACAGTGAGACCTCCCCAGAGGAAATGGTGGGCATTAAAATCACCAAGTAACAGAATCGGTGGTGGTAATGACGAAACAAGAAAGGCAATATCCGGAATAGATAATGCCCGAGAAGGAGAGAGATATAAAGAACAGAGCGTATACCACCTATGCAAGTGGATACGGGCTGCTGTGTAATGCAGCGAAGTATGAACAAATAGCTGATGGTACGGAATATCAGTGCGTAGAAGAAGGGCACTTTCATTAAAGGTCCCATCAGGAAAAGGATCTGAAGAATACAATAAATTATAGCCTGAGATGGGAGAGGTAACAGCAGAGTGTAATTTTGGTTCCTGTAAGCAAACACCAACAGGGGAAAACTGGGAGAGTAACATCTGAAGCTCACCCCGATTACCCCTGAGGCCGAGTATATTCCACTGTAAATAGGCCATGATTGGCAATGATAAAGATACCTGAAATCCGCAGGTAAGGGTTCCTACGGACTAGAGGGGTTAGAAAAGTCCACATGCGGAGGCAGTGGAAAACGTTCAAGCAGCGAAGGAAGGGTTGCGCTGTGAAAAAAGGAGTTGCGCTGATGGAGTAGAGGAGAGAGAAGGAGCAGAGGGTGGATCAGTGTCCATTGATGGTTTGGTCTCTGCAATATATTCAGAGATTGCTTCAAGTGTTTCAGAATTCAGAGACATTGTATGGAAGACAATATTGGAAATGGTAGGGGGAGGATGAGTAAAGATTGGAACTGTAATGGACTGTACCAAGGTAGGGGGGGGCGGAAGGGTGGAGGGAACTGGAGAAGCGTGGAAGGGGACAGAGGCAGAAACCTGGGAGGTGGCAGAAGAGGAAGAAACTTGGGAGGGAACAGGGGAGGAAGGTACAGTACGAGGAGGAGGGTGAACCTCTACACTTGTAACAGAGCCAGTGAGAGGGGTAGAACCAGGTACAGAGACAGGGAAGGTAAAATGAGGAGGTGGAAGATGGGTAGGAGGTGTTAACGGACCTTTTTTTTGACTTTTGAGAAGTAGAGGGACGATTGGGAGGAGGTGTCATACGAGATCTCGTCGCTACTGAGGCTTGTGAGAGAGAACACGAGGAAGCAAGATCAGACCGAGACATTGAAGTAGGGACGTCTGAGCCGAGGACAGCAAAAGAATTAGCTACAGGAGTGGCTATGGGAGAGGTAACCACAGAGGTGGGTGCAGAAGATGGGATACCAGAAGTGGGGGGACGTTTTGAAACACGGGAATAAGAAACACGAGGTAGTCTCCCTTGGAGGCAGAGATGAGAAACTGCCATGGCATAAGAGAGACCTTCTGCCTCTTTGAAGTAACGGATTTCCCGCTCGTTTAAGTAGACTTGACAACGGCGAGAGTACGAAGGGTGAGCCTCATGACAATTAAGGCAAGGGAGGTCGATTGCAAGACGTATTAGATGGTCATCGGCACCACAGACTGGGCATTCGGCGATAGATCTGCAATATTTCGCTGGATGGCCAAATCGCCAGCAATTTCTACACTGTTGCAGTGTAGGGATCACCTTTCGAACTTGTAACTGATGTCCTGCTACATAAACTGAGGATGGGAGTTCACGGCTGTCAAAAGTTAAACGAGCCACATTGCTAGGGTATCGTCTCCGCCCGCGGGCAGGAAGAACGTAAGTGTCTACCTTGAAGATTGGGAGATCTTGGAGTTCCAGCTGTTCAAGAATGTCAGTGCCACATGTCTGGAAATTTTGTTGAACTATGGTATGGGGCAGAATGATGGTACCACTACAAGAATTGAGGGAATGATGCTTTTCAATAGTTAGAGGAACAGTATCGATATGGGAAAGACAAGAAAGCTCATGAGCCTGGGTAGCATTCTGTACGGTGACGATGCACTTACCGCTCTTAAGAGCATGAAAAGAAATATCTTTACCAACATGGCGTAGGAGTGCCTTGCCAATACTGTGGTCAGAAAGATAGGCAGTAGAGGAAGTCGGTCGTAAAGTGAAGAATTTAGTCCATTGTGCAGTCTGAAACTGAGCGTGGAAAGGTAGTGAAGGACGTGTCGATCTTTTCTGAGAAGAACGAGAAGGTGGAGAAGTATCATCAGCAGGTAATTGTCGTTGTCGTTTAGGCGTGGGACCAGAGTTGGTCCGACTTGGAACGGGCCGGCGATTCAAAAATTGCCGCACCGTAGAGGGAGAGGCCGGAAGCATAGTCAGAGGAGAGCGAAGGTCAGATAAATCGAAGGAGTCAGTCGAGGCCTCAGTACCTGAAGCGGATGAGGAAACAGCACTGGCAAGAGGTACAGAGGCATGAGCAGTGTCCGAAGAGTGGTCCAAAGACGAGGCGGGGTCAGAACGGGGTGCGGTATCAAGAAGGGGCCCGGGGGTACCAGGTTCATGGACTAGGGCTGCCATGGTTAGGTTACTTCTTTCTTTTTGTTTTTAAGAAAAAAAAGAAAGAAAAGAAAATAAAAATAAAAAAAAGAATAAAAAAAGGGGGGACCGGGGAGGGATAGTTCCTAGGAGGAATGAAAGGGCCAGAAATCTCCCTCCGCACCCAAGAGGACCTCAGCACCGCAAGTAGCACAGATGCAGCATGGAACCCGTGCCATACCCTACCCATCATGCCAGTAAACCGGCAATCCGGGATAGCAACCTCACATCTGCCGAGCTACCTCGGTGGACAATAGAGAGGGCGGCCGGAAATCCGCCACAAAGCATACCTCCTTCGGCCACCACCCCCGGAATCCGAAAGGTGGCTTCCAGAGATACACCCGTCGCCCAAGAGACACCCAAAGCCACCCTCCGGGATACCGGAGAGGGATCAGGACATCCCCAGGCAATCCAGATTCCACTGCAAACTACGCCACCGACAAGAACCTCAACGGAATGGGATGGACCCGGTACCCTTTCCCCTACCTAGGAACTAGCGTGCCTGTGGAAAAAAAAAAAAAAAAAAAAAACTCCAAAAAGGAAGGGCAAAAGGGAGATGGGGAGGATGGGATAGGGAACGGGGGATTGGGGGGTAATTAGGTTTGGTCTGAGGAAGTAGACCGACAGGTCTAATTCCTCAGACGAAGAGCCTCTTCACCACGCCAAGGAGCCCCCCTTGAAGAGGTGCATAACAGTAAATCTTCTATTTTATGGTTTGAATAAAAATTCATTATGTGAATAAAAAATCAAAATGGAATCCATATGTAAAGCCTAAAAACATAACTAATGAACAGAGGAAATGTTAGTTTAGTGCCAGGAATGCCTGCATTGTTTATTCTGGACCCTATTTTGAAACTGGAATACTTTGAACTTTGCAATAAATTGGCCAAATTACCAATTTCCGGTCACTATTTTGTTGTTGAAACAGTTGATTTGGTCATTTCTTGTGCTCAATCGATAGAATAAAAGTAATACTAGTGAAATAGCTAAGAATTTGGCTGACTGGAATACTGTAATTGGCGTAAAATGGGAGTCAAAGTCGGCAAAATTGCCGATGCGTAAATATCGGACACATCAAAATTCGCGAGAGTATAATTTCGTCAATTTTCCATCAAATTTCGTAATTTTTGTTTTATTACCTTCAGAAAAAGATTCTCTACCATTTCGTAAGAAAAATAAAAAAATTATTTTTTGAAAATTCTTGGACCCTGGTGCACACTTTGAAATTTGGCCTCTGGACCCTGAAAGGGTTCAATTTTATGAACTCAAATGCATATCTGTTATTTATCAAACTACATCTAAACACTGTGTAAAACTATTAAATGAATAAAATTTCAGAGAAAATCAGAATAAAACCACTCCAAAATATACTAATTACCTTTTATATAGAATAAACCCCTCAGTAAGATGAGTGGGCTGGTTTACTTTCTTGGGATATGAGGGGCTAGCCCATGCTTGGAGCAAATAATGTCCAATAAACCTTTCAGATTACAGAAATAAACTCGTATAATGTAAACTGTGTCTGGACACTATTCCTATATGGTACAAGCACAGTATTAAAAAAAAAAAAAAAGTCATGGTACATACCGAGATGATTGTTCTACAGTAAGGATAGGCATTCCATGCTTCTTCATGAATCTCTAATGATCCCTCTGGTGCTAGGAGACGGATAAAGGATGGTACTTTGCTGGAGGAGACAATCTTGGATTAGGGTATTAACAAGCTTATACACATAAAGAAGTACAGTGGACCCCCACATAAAGATCAGCTCCCAACTCGACCAATTATGTAAGTGTATTTTTTAAGTGCTTTTGTAGGTGTATTTTTGGGGGTCTGAAACGGACTAATCTAATTCACAATATTTCTTATGGGAACAAATTCGGTCTACAACGGCACCCAAACAGACTTCTGGATTGAAATAATATCGTTATGCGGGGGTCCACTGTATAATGTATGCAAATTAATGATCTTGTTCATTACATTCAGTGAAGAAATTGTACTTATTGCAGGACTTTTGGCCATTTCATGGGTTATTTTTTTGCATCTTCATATCTACTTCCTATGTAATTTTGTAGTGTAGCCCAAATGAACTTTGGCTTGTATAGCCATGGTGCACGGCACACTGTAATAAGAAATCTGAAGAAAATTAAGTTTTTAGTCAGTTCCTCAAGTACAACATTACTTACCTACTTACTAATACATTTATTTTCCCTAATCTCAACCACACTGCACTTCATTTATTTTAATTCTCCTGCTGCATTTTTAACAAGTCTGCCCTGTGAGAAAATTTCAGGAGAATAGCAAGTGAGAGTCCAGTCAAAGAATGACTGGAAAACAATGTTCCCATTGCTATAACTCGACCCTTGCAACCACAATTAGGAGAGTACATAGCAATATGGAACAAATGCTGTGGCTCTGAGTTATGCCTTTAATTTCTGGTGCCATGATGAGGTGAAACTCTTAGCCATTCTCTAATATTTTCTAGTACACACATCCAGTAGATGAGACTGCTGTACAAGTATTATTATTATTATAATAAAAAAGAAGCGCTAAGCCACAAGGGCTATGCAGCGCTGCAGGGTAGGGAAGGAAGCGAGAGTATTGGGCGGTAGAAGGGGGGAGGGATAATCAGTAGGTTACAGAAAACAGCGGGACAGGGGATAGTGCTGTACAAGTATGACATGTCCATCTATGCCTATAATGCTTTTGTAGAAGAATAGTCAGTGTTAACATATCAATACCTCTTAAGATGGTAAATTTTGTAAGTGTACTGTCCACTGCTGTACTTGTCCCCAAGCAGTGGATAATTATCAAAGGGTTCATTTTTGAGAACTTCAATACCTTCACCACCTCCTGTTTCATTTTTACTGGCTTCAGCAACACTGTACAGCTGTGCAACTTGATACTGTAAAGAAACATTTACATTATATATATTTTTGATCTTAATACATTACCATCTGTATGTTATGAAACAGATGTATAAACTCTCAGCAAAAATAATTCTTACATAATAATTACTGGAAAATGCAAACACAAAATTATGATGCAAGACTATTACTGAGCTTTTCAGTGTTAATTAAGCTTACTGATTAACAAACTCAAGCACGTACCTGGGCAAAAAACTATATTACTATAATAAAGACCAGAAGTCATTAAAGCAAGTTAAACATATTACCCAAATAGTTTAGCAATTACATTATGCTACAAAGCTTTAAAAAATAAATCCTGCAAGCAGTCCACTTAATACAAAATATATTCTTCAATCACTTATTATCAAATAATTCATGTATTCCTGAACCTATTGCTTTTAAAACACATTTTAAATACCTTTGTAACTTATAAGGTAAGGCATTACAGTCACTGATCTGGAAAAATTTTAGAGGATGCTCTTCTTAGTGATCATCAAATATGAAAAAAATAAATTGCCATTTTCATCATTGCTTCATCCTCATTTCAATCATCCAAAAATAATGAAACATGTTGGAAAATATTATGGTATAAATGTCCAGTAACACCAGACCTTTTCAAACATGTTCAAACTCTCATTTTTTTTATTACTAAATGTGCAACTACAACATGCTTATCTACATTCCAATCATCATTCACAACTGACTGACTAGTAAGCAATCAGGCTTTCTATCTGGAAACTTATGTACATGTATATCAAATCTTTCTTTTTTTAACACACTGGCCGTTTTCTACCGAGGTAGGGTGACCTGCCTCCATCACTGTCTTGCCAGAGGTGTGCCAATACTAGTTTAAAAATGGCAACATATCTCCATCCCTCCTTCAGAGTGCAGGTACTGTACTTCCCACCTCCAGGACTCAAATCTGGCTAATCAGAATCTATTAAGTAAAGTAAAAGGACACAAGTACAAATAATGTGACATTTTATTGTGGCAACATTTCGCTCTCCAGGAGCTTTATCAAGCCATTACAAACAATACATGGACACAGTGGGTATATAAAGGCTCAGAGTGAGGTGCAATACTAGTGAGGTACCATTTCGATGTTCACTAGTGGTAGTAGTAGTAGTGACAAAAGTAATACAACATGGTAGAGCAATTAATTCGTACATGAGTAAAAGGATAAAAAAGCTATTACTTGGGTAACATAAAAATAGGTTGGACAAATAAAGACTGGAAAGAGGCAGCCTGTTTCAGTGTTCATTCTCTGTAATGTTCTTTGTGTAGTATAACAGGAGAGACTATGTGATGGCAGGGTTTACTGTTTTCAGGAGGATTCTTGCTAAGACTTCGGAGATGGTGAAGCTGCCGTTGTTTTGTTTAATTGTATTTGAAACAGCGATCAGTGCTGATTCGAGGCACTTGCGTCTGCGTAAATTAGTTTCTTTGATCACTAATTGGGCGTCCCTGAATTTCATGAGATGATTGGTGGAATTTCGGTGTTGTACACAGGCGTTGTTCAAGTTATCGTTCCTACATGCGTAAATGTGTTCATTGAGGCGGGTGTCAAGGATTCTTGCTGTTTCACCTACGTAAATCTTGTCACAGCCTCCACAGGGTATAGTGTAAACTCCTGCATTGACTGGTTCGTGGTGCTTGGATTTTGTCCTGGTTAGATCCTTTATTGAAGTGCTAGAAGCGATGGCGACTCTGGTGTTTGCTTGTGAAAGTACTTTTGAGACGTTCAGTGCAACCTGGCTGTTGGGAAGAATTATAACTTTGTTGGGAGTGGTGTTGATGCATGGAAAATTAATGATCTGAAGAGCTCTTTTCTTGCAGTCTTTGATGAAAAAAGAAGGAAAATGTAACTCAGTGAATGTTTGGTGAATGTATGTACATTCCTCGTCAAGAAACTCAGGACTACAAATTCGGTATGCACTTAGGAAAAAACCGATGATGATGCCTCTTTTGGTCTTGGTATCTTGACTGGAATAGAAGTGTGTGAGATCATTTTTATTGGTGGGTTTCCGATAAACTTGAAATCTTAGGTTGTTGTCTACTTTGTGAATGAGGACGTCGAGGAAAGGTAGCTTGTCATTGGACTCTTCTTCTAGTGTAAACTGGATCGCCGGTTCAACTGCGTTGAGCCTTGCCTGAAGATCCCGTACATCAAAACGTTTGGGAGTTATTACGAGGACATCGTCCATGTAACGTAACCAAGTGACGCTTGAAGGGATGATGTTGGCGAAGTGTCCGGACTCTAGGAGTTCCATGTATAGGTTGTCTAGGACGGCACTGATGGGGGACCCCATTCCCATGCCGTAGGTTTGTTTGTAGAGCTTGTTATTGAAAGAAAAACAGTTGAAATTAACACAGAGTTCAATCAAGTCAACAAAATCTCCGGGAGGTAGAGGAAGATTAAGGTCCTGATTGACTTTACGTCGTAGAACCTCGATGGCTTTTTTGGTAGGTACTTTTGTGAAAAGGGAAGTCACATCCAAACTGCTTAGTTTCTTGTTACGGATGGAGAGGTTACGGATGCGGTTGAGAAGGTAGCCTGAATGTTTAAGATGAGCGGGGCTGATGGTCCCTGTGGAGGCTGTAACAAGATTTACGTAGGTGAAACAGCAAGAAACCTCGACACCCGCCTCAATGAACACATTTACACATGTAGGAACGATAACTTGAACAACGCCTGTGTACAACACCGAAATTCCACCAATCATCTCATGAAATTCAGGGACGCCCAATTAGTGATCAAAGAAACTAATTTACGCAGACGCAAGTGCCTCGAATCAGCACTGATCGCTGTTTCGAATACAATTAAACAAAACAACGGCAGCTTCACCATCTCCGAAGTCTTAGCAAGAATCCTCCTGAAAACAGTAAACCCTGCCATCACAGTCTCTCCTGTTATACTACACAAAGCACATTACAGAGAGTGAACACTGAAACAGGCTGCCTCTTTCCAGTCTTTATTTGTCCAACCTATTTTTATGTTGCCCAAGTAATAGCTTTTTTATCCTTTTACTCATGTACGAATTAATTGCTCTACCATATTGTATTACTTTTGTCACTACTACTACTACCACTAGTGAACATCGAAATGGTACCTCACTAGTATTGCACCTCACTCTGAGCCTTTATATACCCACTGTGTCCATGTATTGTTTGTAACGGCTTGATAAAGCTCCTGGAGAGCAAAATGTTGCCACAATAAAATGTCACATTAGTTGCACTTGTGTCCTTTTACTTTACATATTGTCGGTAATTCTACCAACTTTATTACAGAATCTATTAAGCTATTATGACAGTCAAAGAAATTGTTCAAGTAAATTAATGGATGGGATGATTTTATTTATATAGACTTAAGAAAGCTTTTGATAGCTCCTTAAGAAAGCTTAATATAGAAATCTCAAAACAGGAATAAAAGGCAAATTATTAGAATGGATGAGAGACTGCTTGAAAGGAAAATGCAGAGATAAGAGAAAAAGGGCTTCTTCAGGAAATGCAATCAGTGAGGTGCCACAAGGATTTGTACATCCTCCTATAATGTTTTCAGCTTAAGGTATATAAATGATTTCACAAAGAATAAAAAAACTATTGTATATAACTGTTTCCTGATGCAAAAATCTTGTTCAAAATAAATAAAAGTTACTGTAATTTTTTAAAAGACAAGTTGTACAAATTCAGCAGAGTGATGGATGAATGATGGAATTTAATGCAGATAAATGCCATTTAATGGAAATGGAAGAAAGCAAAATCAGACCACAAAACATATACCTCATGAGGTCTTCATTAGACTGTGTGATAAAAGTTTGGGAGCATAAAAAAAAAGGGGATCTAGAAGTTGTTACTAATATGAGAAATGCATATGATGTAATGCATAACTAATTTTTACCTACTGGCCATCCTCCACCAAAGTAGGGTGACCCAAATAAAAAAAACATTTACTGTCTTTCATTCAATTACTGTTTTGCCAGTTCATATGACCCTCCAAAAATTGGAAATTTAGAATATGTGGGTCAGCAGGCCACCAGCAGCAACAGCCTAGTTGATCAGGCAAGCACCAGACAAGCTTGGCCCATGGCCAGACTCCAGTAGTAGAAAAAAACACAGAACTCAAAGGTATAACAAAGGTATATTCAGTTATGGGTGTCTACACCTAAAGAAACATGGATCAGTCAGGAAAAGTTCAAAGTTACAAAATGGATTCTAGAGCTAGGCAATGTGAATTGTGATGAAAGGCTGAAAACCCTAACAATTCCCACTGCCTGATAAGAGGAAAAGGAGGAGATATGATAACATAGATGATTACAAGGTTATGAAATTATATGGAAGAGATAAACAAGTTAAGTATCTTAAACAGGGATGAAAAGAGGTCACAGATATAGAGCAAGAAACAAGTGGTTCCAAAAGAATACTCGAAAATGAATCTTGACAAAATAGTGGAAGAATGGAATGAACTGAAAGGGGTAGTAAGCACTCCAACCATTACAAATATAAAATAACACACATACAATGTTCCTTGATGCTGACACAATGAATGTAGCTATGCTCTTATACCTACAAATAGGTAATCGCTTGTTGCCACCACTACATTTCTACCCCTCCCCTTCACCTCTAACACCCTCCCTGCAACTTATCTGTGGATGGTCCCAACCCTTCCTTCCAAAAAAATAAGCTCATCAGTAAGCTTTATTTATTTTAAATATCAAGATAATTTCCTGAACATCTTCAAACTTTTAATGTTTTCAGTTCCTTTAATTAAAAAAAAAAATAGATAATTATGAACACATTATATGGCTTGCTAAGAACATACCTCTTCAACTGTGAGTGGCAGGATTACTCGACTGAAAAAATAAAATAATGTAAGTAGTACAATCCACAGATCAAGAAGGGTGTGTTGGGTCTTATATGAAAATTATTTCCTTCAAATTCTGTCTTAGGAAACACTTGTCAAAGATCAGTCTGAACCCAATAATGTACTGCACATATAGTATGTACAATACTGTACTATATTTGAAACCAATCTGGTTACATTGTTTAATTAATGGCAATAAATGACAAAACAAATACAGTACAGTATTTTGTTAGCTTGGGTGAAGCCTAAATAAAGGAGCCAAAATAAAAACCTATGCATTTACAGCATTATGTCATTTTTGATGCATCTTTCAAGGATTTATTACAGCAGTACAAAATAATGCATAAAAAACTACAGAATTTTTTAAAATACCACATTGCCCTCACACCTTATTAAGAGCACATGGCCTTGGTTTATAAAGCAACAATTTATGCTAAAGAAGTAAACAATATATATTACATACTCTTACATCATTTATACAGTACCATCATTTATATCTGAAAAATTTCTCCAAACAAGACAACAAACTAAATTTAGGTTTATCCTAATAGACTGGGAAGGATTCACTATAATTAGGCTAGGGTAAAAGATAGTTTTTGTGCAATATAGAGAACTTGTAGAGGACCACATTATTTCACATTAAAAAATATATATCAAAGAAAAATATAATTATATATGATTTTATTTATATTTTATTTATATATATTTATGAAAATTTGGCTTATTTCTGACTAATTATGACCACTGCATGCTTATAACAAAAATTATGTGCTTAATAGAAATATTGAAGTCAAACATTTATTAACCATTTTTAGAACTGTTATAAGCAGTCTTAATATTTTTTGCTTTTGTCAAAGTTTTATATCAAAGTGAAATCAACAATACAGGATGGAAGTGGTTGGATACACAACACAGAACTCTCTTTTCTTACTTCGATGAAAACAACTCTTCAGGAAATAAGAGATATGCTTGGTTAAGTCATCATAACGTCACTTGTGTATCTATGACTACATGCGTTATATTATACAAATACAAATATGAAAATCATTTACTTATAGGTATACTTTTTACTACCACTGTATAATGCCAGGCTAATAAAAAAGGCGGTCATAAAAGATGGGGTAAACCCTGGTACCTGGATAGTATCAACTATTAATATTCTGGCAACATGCTTTTACATCATAATTCCCGAATATACTATTAAATCCAGTTATATTAACACAAATGTTTATTTGAGGTTAAACCATTAATATATTTATATTTTACAAAAATAATTTAAATAGTTGAAGCTTAAACTATTATTACCGTCATGGGGGGAGCGCTAAGCCCGAAGGTGTCATAATGCTCCTGGGGAAATGGAAGGCATTCAGGCTACATTCAAGGAATTGAAACATGGGCCCAATTCCTTAGATTAGGAGCCCCTTACCAGCTTCAAGGAGCCTCCTTGAAGGGCGTCTTACACAATCAGTATAGGCATACCAAGGATTTCCTAAAGGGTAACCTAACTAAACCAGTATTGTATAAATATATTTCCACCGCATACAGTAAATTATCAGGAAGGTCATGCTGTGTTTTATATTGTTAACCGAATTGTCAGGGTATCGTGTTTTTATAAAGTAAAAATTGACATTACCTGTCAATTCTGACACCTGCTAGAGCCGCTCTTCAGTACCTGTCAAACTAGACTAGCTTGAATTAAGCCGGCCCTATACCGACCTTATTTCTCTATCACGTTATAATCAGTTATGAATGTAATGATATAAAAGAAAGAAAAGACGAGTAATAAAACGCATAAAGATTTCTCAGGTGTAGAATCAATAACCAGCTGAGTGGTGTGGTTGCCATGGATACCTATATTATTATTATTATTATTATTATTATATTCAGGGGAAACGAGCTAAGGTCGTAAGGGTCATATGGTGCTTTGGGAATGGGAGAAAATCAGGTTTGATCCAAGGAAGGAAGAAGAATCTAATTCCTTGGATCAAGTGCTCCTCACTAGCATCAAGGATGGTCCCTTGAGAGGGGTGGATACTCACAGACCGATGTTTGATACCATAACCTAGCATGGTGTACTAGACCGCCTCAACTTACAATTCCTTGACGAGCATGTTGAGTGGGACTAGAACATGAGAAGGAGTGGCACTGACACACCTCACACCACACTCATCACGGCACGAGTGATGTCACACTAACACCCCTCCCCTAGCCCCTATACCACGTACCATTACCTACCTATAAGGGACCACGTGCGCGCGCTCCCACACAAACTACATCATTATTATTACATAACACTCAAAAGTGTCTTGATGCCGGTGAGAGGCTCGTGATCCAAGGAATTGAACTTTTCCTCCCTTTCAGTGGATCACAACTGAATGTTCCTCATTCTCCCACGAGTTGTATAACCCCTACGGATTTAGTGAGTTTATTTTTTTAAGTTTAATCAGGTACAGACACACATGAGTACAATTATCATACGTAGTAGCATGTGTAAATCACCTAGGATAACTCCCAAAAAAAGTCATTGACATAGTATTTCCATTGGGGTCCCTTATTTATTTATTTATTTATGTCTTTGCAAATAGTACATTGAGATTATGTATTTATAATAATGGGTTGCAATGAAAGAGAGCCTCTATTATGCCTAGGCATTATGAAATATATTGTTTAATGGATAAGGGCTAAACGAGTATGATTCACACAGACTCAACACAGATTCAACACAGACCCCAACTTATGCCTAGAACAGATTACTCGGTGGCACTCGATGTATGCACAAGGCTTATTCCTCTAAGAAAAAGGAGGAGTAGATGTAAAACGGAAAGAGACAGGCGCTCCCTTTACAGGCGACGGAAAAGAATAACAGAGCGGCTAAAAGAGGTCAATATATCTGAAATGCGTAGGGAGACACTGGTCAGAGAAATAGCAAGCATCGAACTTAAGCTAAAAGAATCCTTTAGGAGTCAGGAATCGCGGGAAGAACTAAAAGCCATAAATGAAATCGAAAGAAACCCAAAGTATTTCTTCTCCTATGCCAATTCAAAATCGAGAACAACGTTCAGTATTGGGCCCCTACTTAAACAAGATGGGTCCTACACAGATGACAGCAAGGAAATGAGTGAGCTACTCAAGTCCCAATATGACTCAGTTTTTAGCAAGCCGCTAACCAGACTGAGAGTCGAAGATCAAAATGAATTTTTTATGAGAGAGCCACAAAATTTGATTAACACAAGCCTATCCGATGTTATCCTGACGCCAAATGACTTCGAACAGGCGATAAATGACATGCCCATGCACTCTGCCCTAGGGCCAGACTCATGGAACTCTGTGTTCATCAAGAACTGCAAGAAGCCCCTATCACGAGCCTTTTCCATCCTATGGAGAGGGAGCATGGACACGGGGGTCGTCCCACAATTACTAAAAACAACAGACATAGCCCCACTCCACAAAGGGGGCAGTAAAGCAACAGCAAAGAACTACAGACCAATAGCACTAACATCCCATATCATAAAAATCTTTGAAAGGGTCCTAAGAAGCAAGACTCACCACCCATCTAGAAACCCATCAGTTACATCAACCCAGGGCAACATGGGTTTAGAACAGGTCGCTCCTGTCTGTCTCAACTATTGGATCACTACGACAAGGTCCTAAATGCACTAGAAGACAAAAAGAATGCAGATGTAATATATACAGACTTTGCAAAAGCCTTCGACAAGTGTGACCATGGAGTAATAGCGCACAAAATGCGTGCTAAAGGAATAACAGGAAAAGTCGGTCGATGGATCTATAATTTCCTCACTAACAGAACAAGCCACAAGGCACAGTACTCGCTCCCATCTTGTTCCTCATCCTCATATCCGACATGGCCTGGTGGTTAACGCTCTCGCTTCACACGGTGAGGGCCTGGGTTCGATTCCCAGCCAGAGTAGAAACGTTGGACGTGTTTCTTTCCACCTGTTGTCTATGTTCCCCATCAGTAAAATGGGTACCTGGGTGTTAGTCGACTGGTGTGGGTCGCATCCTGGGACACTGACCTAAGGAGGCCTGGTCACAGACCGGGCCGCGGGGGCGTTGACCCCCGGAACTCTCTCCAGATAAACTCCAGATAAACAGCACCGTGTCTTCCTTTGCAGATGACACCCGAATCTGCATGACAGTGTCTTCCATTGCAGACACTGCAAAGCTCCAGGCGGACATCAACCAAATCTTTCAGTGGGCTGCAGAAAACAATATGAAGTTCAACGATGAGAAATTTCAATTACTCAGATATGGTAAACATGAGGAAATTAAATCTTCATCAGAGTACAAAACAAATTCTGGCCACAAAATAGAGCGAAACACCAACGTCAAAGACCTGGGAGTGATCATGTCGGAGGATCTCACCTTCAAGGACCATAACATTGTATCAATCGCATCTGCTAGAAAAATGACAGGATGGATAATGAGAACCTTCAAAACTAGGGAGGCCAAGCCCATGATGACACTCTTCAGGTCACTTGTTCTATCTAGGCTGGAATATTGCTGCACACTAACAGCACCTTTCAAGGCAGGTGAAATTGCCGACCTAGAAAATGTACAGAGAACTTTCACGGCGTGCATAACGGAGATAAAACACCTCAATTATTGGGAGCGCTTGAGGTTCCTAAACCTGTATTCCCTGGAACGCAGGAAGGAGAGATACATGATTATATACACCTGGAAAATCCTAGAGGGACTAGTACCGAACTTGCACACGAAAATCACTCACTACGAAAGCAAAAGACTTGGCAGACGATGCACCATCCCCCCAATGAAAAGCAGGGGTGTCACTAGCACGTTAAGAGACCATACAATAAGTGTCAGGGGCCCGAGACTATTCAACTGCCTCCCAGCACACATAAGGGGGATTACCAACAGACCCCTGGCAGTCTTCAAGCTGGCACTGGACAAGCACCTAAAGTCAGTTCCGGATCAGCCGGGCTGTGGCTCGTACGTTGGTTTGCGTGCAGCCAGCAGCAACAGCCTGGTTGATCAGGCTCTGATCCACCAGGAGGCCTGGTCACAGACCGTGCCGCGGGGGCGTTGACCCCCGGAACTCTCTCCAGGTAAACTCCAGGTAAACACAATGCCTAAGAAATGGGAGGTAATCAAATGTTATCAAAGAAAGAGTAGTAGAGCCAATTCCTTGGAGCAAGAGCCCTCACCGGGACCCAGGGACATCCCCCAACCTGTTACGGAAACTTCCAGGATACGGGAGGAATAAGAAGCAAACTTAAAAACTAGATCATAATTGTTTTCTGCTTGAAAAGATAATGCGGTCACAAATTAAAGTATTCTTAAGGTGTCAGGTCACCAACTGGAGAGAGAGAGGTAACCATCTATGGGTGGGCTCACCACCTGGAGGATGAGGTAACCATCTAGGGGTGGGTTCACCACCTGGAGGGTGATGTCCTAACTTTGAGGGTTGGGTCACCACCTGAGGGTGAGGTCCTCACCCGAAGGCGAGGTCATCACCTGGGAGGCGCTTACACAATTTTCATAATATAAACGACTTGTCAGCAGGAATACATAATTATATGAACATGACTGCGAATGATGCACAGAGCCTATGCAAGATAAAATAAAAATGACTACATATACCAGCAAGATCTGGATAAATCAGGCAAGTAGAGTGATACGTGGTGGATTGAGTTTTATGTTGTTAAGTGCCAAAAAGTACATTTTTTTTCTAATTTTAATCAGTGGGAAGCGCTAAACCCGTTGGGGTCATAGAGCGCGAGGCAACAGGCACGATCCAAAGGAAGAATTCAGTTACTTTGATCAAGAGCCCCTCACCGGCATTAGGGCACCTTTGAGAGCCAACGAGTAATAGAAAGAGGAGATATAAACTATCATTGAAAAAAGACATCAGGTCACGTGAGAAAGTCATATGCATCAATGGTTAGCTTAAAAATAGTTTTAATTTAGATATGTGGATGGGGGAAATGTTGAAAAAAAAGTGTTAATGGCATACGTTCTGCCAAACTCAGAATACTATATGAAGTTGTGGTATTGTATTTGAAAAAGAACATGGACAAGATGGGAGCCCAGTGAGCATAAGCTACACTGACATTTTTGTGGTTATCATAGGTCAAATCTGCATAATTTACTACCAGTAACAATTATGTATAATGCAACCACTGTATAAATGCATCATATATAAAGTCCATAAAACCATTTTTCAATTAACATTAATAAAGTCTATCATATCAATTTAATAAAAAAATCAAAGGAGCTACATAATAGCTATCAGTACTAAATAATAAGTTAGGAGGAAAGACTGAAGACAATACACATAGAATAATTGCTGATGATGTATATACTGTATTTTGGCAATTTACAGTATGTGGGAGTATTTCATATCTGTACTTGAACATGACAATGTATCCGACACGTCAGGCACATGGCCTATTATTAGCTCTAACACAAAAGTGATGTAATACACTGATAGGAGAAATAAATATGAAAAGAGAAAGATTTTATTTATTTAGCAAAATTGGATTTGTAATAATTCACTTTGTCAGACTTTTTTGGGTTATCCTTGGTTCTCTACATATGCTGCTATGTATGATAATCTATGTAACTGTATTTGTGTATACCTGAATAAACTTACTATCTAAATGAGGAGAGGTGTAGTGAGGAAGGTGTTAGTGAGGGAGGTGTGGTAATGGTGGTTCCAGGGAAGGAGGTTTGGTACTGGTGGTCCCAATAAGGGTGTTGTAGTGGTCTTCCTGGTGAGGGAGGTGTGGTAGTCGTCCTGGTGAGGGGGTGTGGTAGTCGTCCTGGTGAGGGAGGTGTAATGGTGGTAGTTCTGGTGAGGAACATTTGGTGGTAGCTGTAACAATGGTAGTCCTGGTGGGAGATTGGGTAGTGATGGTCCTGGTGAGAGATACGGTGGTGGTGGTCCTGGTGAGGGAGATACGGTGGTGATAGTCCTGATGAATCAGACATGATGGTGGTCCTGGTGAGGGAGATACGGTGGGGGTGGTCCTGATGAAGACGTGGTCGTCCTGGTGAGGGAGATAGGGTGGTGGAGGTGGTGGTGGTAGTGACGGGGAGAAAGTGGATGTGAGGTAAATGCTTCACATCGTCAGTGGTGTCTGACTCACTGGTGAAGTTGCTGGTGTTTGCCAAGTGCTGCTGCTGCTGCTGCAGTGTGTGGTTGAGCCTACCCGACCTCAATGTACGGTGCTGTGTTCTCTCCATCGATAAGATTTGATAAGATTGTGTGAGAGTTATGCAGGAAGCAGTGTCAACACGTCAGTGTGTTAAAACTCAGTATTCAGTGAGCTTCACGCGAAGATGCTTATTAAGGAATTGTAAGTCTTTTGCCTGCAACGAAATGTTCAATGTAAGCTTAAGTATATACTAGTATATTATCATGGAATTACAAAGATAAAAATATTTGTGTCCATTGATGGTGTGTTTTTGTCAAGGAGGCAGAATTAGGCGGATGAACTCGATTATGCGACTCTGGATTATTGTCAACTCTTCGGCTGTTCTTTACTGTACTTGTTGAATATAATATAACCAGTAACCTACACAGATTCACGTATCGTTTATATGTACAACTGTATGCTTAAAACTATATATCATTAATACAGATTTACACGAGTTAGTTTGCTCAATTTATTCACCTCATGTTTAACATGTGGGCGTAAGTCAGAGTATAGAGGCATATAATGGGTCCAAGGAATGGGCCTTGTCATTCTGATAGGTAAGCAAGTTACAATAGTAAGACTTACAGTGATTTAACAAGCCCAGTAACACCTATCTGGCCGTAAAATTGTATTCTTGAGTATACTCACGTAGCTCTATGAGTATGCACTCAGATCATCTAGTTCTGTGTAATCATCCATTTGCAGCTACTGGACACGAGCTATGCTCGTGGTGTGTCTTCATTTTTTTTTGCGTCACCGAGCCGCGGGGGCGTTGACCCAGGTATATAAATTCTTGAAATTTCTAACAGTTGTAACACTTACTGCCTCCTCTTTTAAGTCATGTCAATAATTATCCACTCGGCGAAGAAAATATTCTTTTATCACTTCGGCTCCACTTTTTCCTCTATTTTCAGCTGTGGCCTCTTGTTATCAATACTGCAGGTGAGATGAAATCTTTACCTACCCTTTCATGTAATTTTATGATCTTATATGTGGTTATCATGTCTCCTCTTTTCCCACTATTAGCAAACTCCTACTTTTCAACTCGGGTAGCCATTTTGTAAATCTTCGTTGGAACTGTTCCAACTTCTATTTTTTCTAAAAATCTCTCTCTCTTATTTGAAATGGAAGTAATTATTTACATTAACCTATCGTCCTCATATCATAAGTTTCAGAGGCGATGGTATCTTGATCCAGGGAACTGGACATAGTCAAATATGATTACTTCCCATTTCCCAAATGATGTCTGATCCCAACGGGTTTAGCGCTCCTCATGAATATAATAATAATAATAATAAGGTAATCAGTATATCATACAGGAAACAAACAACACAGGAACAACTTAAGCCATAAATGAAATTGACAACAACCCACAATACTTAATTTCTAATGCCAGATCTAGGGGGAAAATCACATCCAGTATTGGACTCCCTGCTTAAACGAGCTGAGACTTACATAGATGACAGCAAAGAAAGAGTGAGATACTGAACTCCCAATGTGACTCAGCATTTAGTGAGCCGTTAATCTGACAAAGGGTCGATTTTTTTATGACCGAGACTCAAAGTTTGGTTAATTCAAGAATTTTTGATATAATCCTAACACCGTAAGACTTTGAAAAAATAATAAATGACATGCCCATGTACTCTGCTCCAGGCCCAGACCCGTGGAACTCCGTGTTCATGGAGAACTGAAAAAAAAAAAACTTTCACGTGCCTTTAAGTATTCTATGGAGATGGAGCATGAACACTCGGGTCATCCCTCAGTCACTAAAAACAACAGACATAGCTCCACTCATAAAGGTGGCAGTAAAGCAGTTGCAAAGAATTAATGTAAAAAATTATATTTTTGCACCAAAAGAATCTTAGAAAATTTACCTAACCTTATTATAACAAGCGCAATTTAATTTAGCCTAATCCTAACGTCCCACATCATAAAAATCTTTGAAAGGGTTCTAAGAAGCTAGATCGTCATCCACTTGGATACCCATTAGTTGCACAACCCAGGGCAGCTTGGGTTTACAGCAGGTAGCTTCTACCTCTCCCAACTATTGGACCACTATGACATGGTCTTGGATACTCTGGATGAAAAACAAGGGCGATCGTAGTGTAATAGCACACAAAATGCGTAATAAAGGACTAACAGGAAAAGTGAGTAATAGTAAACAGTAAAGCTAGAGGCGGCTACAGTGAAAAACTGTTTCCACAAGGTACAGTACTCGATCCCATCCTGTACTTCATCCTCACATCTGACATAGTAGACAGAGATGTAAGCCACAGCACCGTGACCTCCTCTGCGGATGACACTAATTTGCATGACAGAGCCATCCATCGAAGACTGTAAATCTCCAAGCGGACATCAGCCAAATCTTTAAATTTGCTGCAGAAAACAATATTAAGTTCAATGAAAACAAATTTTAATTACTCTGCTATAGAAAACTCCAGGAAATAAAAAACTGTATCGGAGTATAAAACAAATTTCGACCACACAATACAGCGAGAAACAAATGTGAAGGACCTGGATAAACCAGTATTGGAAGTTTGAAGCCACTAAAATAAGGGACGGCTTTATAATAATGGTCCAAGTCAGACCGAAGCGTCGTCGTCAGCTTCTCTCTCCTACGTGCGAGTTATTTGTGTATTGTTCCAGTCACGGTATTGTGCCTTTTTTTTATAATACTGTATTGACAAAAGGTCACTTGCCTATCCCAGTAGTTACATGAACCTTTTCCCTAGTTATAGTTTGGCAGCTTTGAATATTTGCAGACACTGAGATACGGCATTCTCAAATTATAAACAAAAAACCTTACAGAAAAAAAATAATATCGTGCCTGCAAACATGACTAGCTCTACAATAGTCGTAAATTATATTTAATTGCTCATTAAACGCAAAACTTAGAAACGCCATAAAAATGCGAGTTTTCAATATTTCTCGGTTTTCTTTCATCAGCTATACTCTACACTCTTAAAAAATATTTTTTTTTTTAAGAAACTGGAATTTATTTACCTCCTATGAGGCACCAAACAATGACAGCCGAAAGTCTGAAGTTAAAATTTGGAAAATAACACCCAGACATTCCAATAGCAATCCATAGCTTCCTCTAAGCTATATTAGTGTTGAAGGTTTGAAGGCCATGAATAAGGCATTCACAAATTATCGCATGAAAACCCATTATTTAATTTTTCAAAATTTCTTATACAGTACAAGAGAAATACAAAAGCTTCGTTAATTGAGATGCACCAGCCTCTCGGGTTTGAAACCAATTAATCAGAAGAGCCATTTTTCAAATACTGCTCAGAAATTCATTAGTTTAATCAAACTGGCAAGTTAAAACTTACACAGCCCAAAATCAATCCAAACTGTTCTCAAAGAACAGTTTGGATTGATTTCATTGAAGGTTTGAAACCGATCAAGAGAATCATTCTTCAAGTATTGCTCTGAATCTACGTGTGTTAGTAAATGGTAAATTTTCACTTACACATCCTAAACTTAGATGACCATCATATTTATTACATGTGTCAGCTATTAAAGATTGAAGTCATTCAGAAGTGACATACTCAATTTTACGAAAAAATACCATAATATTACTACACGCTAAGATATACCAGTGTTGAAACTTTTCCCAAGCTATTGCACAGAAACCAAAATCGGGACTGGGCCGTATAAAATTGATATGCCAGTAGTTGCATAAACTTTTTCCTAGTTACAGTGCACCAGCGTCGAAGATTTGAAGCCAATCGGACGACACATTCTCAATGAAAACCTTGGAGGATGCGAAAAAGAATGTTAACCTCTTTCAGGTACCTTTTCCGATATACCTTTAAATATTTATATGACCGACGTTTATGTTTAGTAATATTCGATTCGTCCAGTTCGCAAAAAAAAAAAATTGCTTTTAGTAAAAGAAGCAGTGGTAGGTGTGATAATATTTGATTAGTATTGATATATTTTTTAACGGACGTGATCATTAATAATTTTTTTTTGTTGCAGTCGGGTGCCCCTACCACTCACAGTGGAGGAGGTAGGTGTTTTTAACAGTTTTTGTCATTATTATTATTATTATAATCACAGTAAAAGAAATCCATAGGTGTCATTCATATGGCGCCTTGAGAATAGGAGGTAATAAAGTTTGACTTGAGGAAGGTGAGATTAGCTCCAATTCCTTGGATTAAGAGCCAGTTACCAGCGTTAAGGCCCTATCTTCTTCAAAGAGGTTTCGGGAACTAAAGATTGCCACAAGGATTAGGTTCAAGTGCTCTCTCTCTCTTTCTCCTTGGGAACCGCACACGTTTTTAGTTTATCCTTGGATAGTTTTCCTCTTGTGTTATTGAAAAAGTGTACCGACCATTTCAGCACTTCTCCATGTTGAAACCACCGGTTTTACATTCAACCTCTTGACTGCATCACTTACAGTTCTTCGCTCATTACAAAAGATCTCGTTGCCTGCTGACTTTAGCATGAAACTACGAATTGGGGCTATTAATCAAATCATTCTCTTACCAAAACCCAATACTCCAGTTCGGGTTTGGCGCTTCCCAGTGATAACTAATAAAGTTTGGTTCTTTCCAGTAATAACTAATAAAGTTAATTCATAGCTACTGAAGAACGAATGACCTAACATATCCTTTCAAATGGCAGCTGACTTGTTAAAAATGTACGTGCAATGTGCAGAAGAGGAAAAATATTCGAATTATTATTATTAATAGTAGTAGTAGTAGCAGTAGATGAATATTCACTGGAAGCGCTGAAATCCTAAGGTGTCATATAGCTCTATATGACTTATTAACCCTAGAAGGCTAATGACCCAGAAAGCCCCAAGAAACCCAAACAGTGTTAATTCCTTGAGTCCTCAGGATGCGACCCACAGCAGCCGACGAATACTTTCCCAAGTGCCTATTTTTCTTCACGATTCGTGCAGTTTGCTTATAGGCTCACTCCTCTTGACGACTGCACAAGCTGTGATGTGGAGTGACTACTTATGTTGGTTCACTGATATATCGTGTCCTATTTACTGCTAGGTGAGCAGAGACAGCAGGTGTACGAGATTTGTAAAAACACATCTCTTCCCTCCTAAGATTGAACCTGGTCTTTCTCGATCGTGAGCTGAACGCTCTGCTGTTGTACTGTGCATCAGCACTACCTGCGCTAGATGTATTGATGATGTTGTACAACCTGGGCTAGATGTATTGATGCTGTACCACCTGGGCTATATGTATTGATGCTGTAGCACCTGGACTAGATGTATTGATGCAGTACCACCTGGGTTAGATGTACTGATGATGCTGTACAATCTTGGCTAAGGTATTGATGATGCTGTACAACCTGGGCTAGATGTATTGATGTTGCAATACATCTAGCTAGATGTATTGATGATGCAGTACCACCTGGGCAAGAAGTAATGATGATGCAGTACCACCTGGGCTACAAGTAATGATGACGCAGTACCACCTGGGCTAGAAGTAATGATGATGCAGTACCACCTGGGCTAATGTCTTAATGTTGCAATACCACCGGGGCTAGATGTATTGATGTTGAGGTGCCATCTGGGCTCAATGTATTAATACTGCGATATCCTCTTGGCCACCTATATTATACGCTAATATAGTACCAACTAGGTCAACTGTGAACATTAAAATGGTATAAAATACCGACAGGTTGTTAGGTATTGTGTCTTACCTAACAATAGGTCAATTGTATTATATATTAATATGTTGTAGCTTGTAATACCACGTGAGCCAGCTGTAATGTAAATTAATGTGTTGCAGCAGTACCTCATGTAGTGCATGTTGCAGTACGAACTATATTGCATGATGTGCTGTAGTACCACCTGTAGTGCTTGTGGTGTGTTGCAGTACCACCTGGCCCAGCTGTGGGCAGTGGCAGAGGCGAGCAAGAGGGAGACAGGTGGTGGTGAGGGTATAGAAGTGATCACCAACGAGCACTTCACAGACTACCCACTGATGGCAGGACGGTACATCAGCGGCCAATATACCTACAAGATATTCCACCTCAAGCAGTAAGTCACTGTTTTTATTCGCACACTTGCCTATTTAATTTTAAATTAAATTTACTCGGTGTTTTTTTTTTTCCTCGCGAAACGGGATGTGTTTTTATTTTAATCAGGGGGAGGTGCTAAACCCGTAGGGGGTCAGCGCCGGGGAAATGTAAGGAATTCAGGTTCGGCTCAAGGGGAAAATTGGTCCAGCTCATTGGATCAAGAACCCTTCACCGTCATCGAGGCACCGTCACTGAGAGAGGTAAGAGGCTATAGGTTGGTTTGTTACTGGTAAAGACTACCGACTGCACTGAAAAAAAAAAATAATTTCTTATAAAGATCCCTAATTGTTGCACATATTAACGCAGGTTATAGGGAAAAAATTAAAAAAAGAAGTTGAGAATTTCTGCAGTGACTGAACTTTCAGAGTTGGTACTTTTTTTTCTAGGGTCAAATTAGTTTTGAGCTGTGTAGGTACTAATTTACCATTTTTTTTTAAGAAACTAGTATAGTTTTCATGTGATTATCTGTGTTTGCTTCTTCTTTTAGTTTTAAATGTTCAAAACCGAGATTTCACTGTATTAAAAACTTTTGTTGCAACAGGTAATATTCCTTTTGCATGCAATAAAATAGAGATGGCTGGGCTAATGGTCAGTGTTATCCGAGGGTAGCTGCAATTCCTTGAATCGAGAACTCTTTATCTGCATTAACATCCCTCTCGAATGGCTTGTAGTGGGATAATGTTCATAGATAAGTGAATATATGTAGAAAGGGTGAGTGCAGTTGTAACATGTGAAGTAACAACCTGGTGGATCCTGTATTGTGTGTTACTATAGCTTATTTTCTTTTCTTATACTACTTCATTAGATTTATATACAGTATAGTATATATGGTGTGTTGCAGCAAGGTACCGTCCTTTATTCGTCTTCTAGCTCCCGAGGGAGCTCTTGAGGTCCATGAAAAGTCCTGGAACGCCTACCCCTATAGCAAGACTCTCTATTGTGTGAGTATACTTACCCCACCTTGTACACCCACACACACACATGGGAGATTAATTTAGAACTTCGGAATATAGGAGAAACAAACGGTAAACTATTTAGATGGATGGAAAATGCGAACAGTTATGAAACGAAAAATGTATGGGTGAAATATGAAGAATATCACGTGGGGTGCCTCAGGTATTTGTTCTTGTCCCAAAAATGTTTTTAACTTCATATAAATTATTTACCAGAAGGAATAAAAAATATATGAATGTGTTTGCAGATGATGCAAAAATATTAGGCAAAAATAAATAATAAAAATTACTTTAAATCTCTACAGGATGACTTAGATAAATTGATCAAATGGAGTGACAGATGGTTGATGGAATTTAATATAAATAGTTACTGTATAATGGACACGGGAGAAAATGAAATGAGGCCACGTGAATAAAGACTGATTGATGAAGTATTGAAATTATCAGACCTGGAGAATGTACAGAGAAATTTCATGGCACATACAAGTACGATAAATAACTTAAATGATATATCACTTAAATTACTGGGAATGGTTGAAGTCCCTTGATTTGTATTCCCTGGAACACAGGCGAGAAGATACATGATAATATACACTTGGAAAATCCTAGAGGGACTAGTCACAAATTTGCACGCGAAAATCACTCCGTACGAAAGCAAAAGACTGGGCAGGAGATGCAACATTCCCCTAATGGAAAGCAGGGACGCCACGAGTACACTAAGAGACAATACGATAAGTTTCAGGGGCCCAAGACTTCAACTGCCTCCCAGCATATATAAGGGAAATTACCAATAGACCCCTAGCTGTCTTCAAGGCGCTGGACAGATAAGATAAGATTTCGTTCGGATTTTTAACCCCGGAGGGTTAGCCACCCAGGATAACCCAAGAAAGTCAGTGCGTCATCGAGGACTGTCTAACTTATTTCCATTGGGGTCCTTAATCTTGTCCCCCAGGATGCGACCCACACCAGTCGACTAACACCCAGGTACCTATTTGCTGCTAGGTGAACAGGACAACAGGTGTAAGGAAACGTGTCGAAATTTTTCCACCCGCCGGGAATCGAACCCGGGCCCTCCGCGTGTGAAGCGAGAGCTTTAGCCACCAGGCCACCGGGCCACCCAAACCTAATGTCAGTACCTGACCAGCCGGGCTGCGGTTCGTGTGTCGGTTTGCGTGCGACTAACAGTAACAGCCTGGTTGATCAGGCTTTGATCCACCACGAGGCCTGATCACAGACCGGGCCGCAGGGGCGTTGATTCCCGAAACCCTCTCCAATTATCAGAATGGAACGTAGGGGTTATTGTTAACAAACAAAATGCCACCGGAAGATCACAAATAAAATTGAGACACTCAAATGCTACACTGGCAAATTATAAAATGGCTTTTAAATATATGGATGAAGACATGCTAACTAAGCTGTTTACAACATACATTAAGTTAAAATTGGAATATGCAGTTGTGTTGTAGTGTGCACACCTTAGTAAGTACGTGGTTAAGTTAGAAAAGATCCGAAGACGAGCTACGAAAGGGTTACCAGTTACTAAATATGAGTCACAGGTAAAGATTAAACACAGTAAAGGTGCCCACGCAGGCTGATAGGACAAGTAGCACCATAACCACATACAAGGACGTGAAAGGACACGAAATATTAGATAAAGAGGTACGACAAGGCCCAAGAGGCTAGAAATCGGTTGTCTAAGAGGCAGAGCCATGAGCTTAGTCTTGACACCCTTTGACAAACACAACTCGGAGTATATACGCACACACACACACATACATACAGGGAAGAGGTGGGGGTTAGGAACTGTGACTCGACCCCTGCAACCACAAATAGGTGAGTATATGCACGCGCGCATGCTCGCGCGCATGCTCGCGCGCACACGCACACGCACGCGCGCGCACACACACACACACACACACACACACACACACACACACACACACACACACACCACACACACACACACACACACACACACACACACACACAGATGAAATTCGAGAAAATGGAAGGAATAGATGAGACGGGAGAAAGAGACTACATAGCAGGTACACTTCAGTCGGGGGAACACAAAGTGGTCATTGCAGTGATGTATAATCCACCACAGAACTGCAGGAGGCCAAGAGAGGAATATGAAGAGAGCAACAGAGCAATGGTGGACACACTTGCTGAGGTGGCAAGAAGAGCTCACTCCAGCAGAGCAAAGTTGTTGGTTATGGGGGATTTCAACCACAGGGAGATTGACTGGGAAAACCTGGAGCCACATGGGGGTCCCGAAACATGGAGAGCCAGGATGTTGGACGTGGTGCTGGAAAACCTCAATGCACCAACATGTTAAGGACACTACCAGAGTGAGAGGGAGGATGAACCAGCAAGATTGGACCTTGTGTTCACCCTGGCAGCTCAGACATTGAGGACATCAAGTATGAGAGTCCCCTAGGAGCTAGCGACCACGTGGTTCTGTGCTTTGAATACATAGTAGAGCTGCAAGTGGAGAGAATAACAGGAGTAGAATGGGAAAAACCTGACTATAAAAGAGGGGACTACATAGGGTTGAAGAACTTCCTGCGGGAGGTTCAGTGGACAGAGAACTGGCAGGAAAGCAGTAAATGAAATGATGGAATATGTAGCAACAAAATGCAAGGAGGCAGTGGAAAGGTTCATTCCCAAGGGCAACAGTAACAACGGAAGACCAGAACAATGCCCCTGGTTCACCCGACGGTGTAAGGAGGCAAAAAAAAAGTGAAATAGAGAATGGAAAAAGTACAGAAGGCAGAGAACTCACAAAAATAGGGAGATCAGTCGCAGAGCCAGGAATGAGTACGCACAGGTAAGGAGGGAGGCCCAGCGACAGTATGAAAGTGACATAGCATCGAGAATCAAGACTGACCCAAAACTGTTGTATAGCCACATCAGGAGGAAGACAACAGTCAAAGACCAGGTGATCAGATTAAGGACAGAAGGTGGAGAACTCACAAGAAATGATCAGGAGGTATGTGAGGAGCTGAACAGGAGATTTAAGGAAGTTTTTACAGTAGAGACAGGAAGGGCTGTGGGAAGACAGAACAGAAGGGAACATCAAGAGGGAATATTACCAACAAGTGTTGGATGACATACGAACAACTGAGGAGGAGGTGAAGAAGCTCTTAAGTGACCTTGACACCTCAAAGGCGATGGGACCGGACAACATCTCCCCATGGGTCCTTAGAGAAGGAGCAGAGATGCTGTGTGTGCCTCTAACCACAATCTTCAACACATCCCTTGAAACTGGGCAACTACCTGAGAAATGGAAGACAGCTAATGTAGTCCCCATATTTAAGAAAGGAAACAGAAACGAGGCACTAAACTACAGACCTGTGTCTCTGACATGTATTGTGTGCAAAGTCATGGAGAAGATTATCAGGAGGAGAGTGGTCGAACACCTGGAAAGAACAAGATAATAAATGAAAACCAGCATGGGTTCAAGGAAGGCAAATCTTGTATCACAAACCTCCTGGAGTTTTATGACAAGGTAACAGAAGTAAGACACGAGAGAGAGGGTTGGGTAGATTGCGTTTTCCTAGACTGCAGGAAGGCCTTTGACACAGTTCCCCACAAGAGATTAGTGCAGAAGCTGGAGGATCAGGCACACGTAAAAGGAAGGGCACTGCAATGGATAAGGGAATACCTGACAGGGAGGCAGCAACGAGTCATGGTACGTGAAGAGGTATCACAGTGGGCGCCTGTTACGAGCGGGGTCCCACAGGGGTCAGTTCTAGGACCAGTGCTATTTTTGATATATGTGAACGACATGATGGAAGGAATAGACTCTGAAGTGTCCCTGTTCGCAGATGACGTGAAGTTGATGAGAAGAATTAAATCGGACGAGGATGAGGCAGGACTGCAAAGAGACCTGGAGAGGCTGGACATGTGGTCCAGTTTACCTGGAGAGAGTTTCGGGGGTCAACGCCCCCGCGGCCCGGTCTGTAACTGGCTTCTCGAATTCAATCCAGCCAAATGCAAAGTCATGAAGATTGGGGAGGGGCAAAGAAGACCGCAGACAGAGTATAGGCTAGGTGGACAAAGACTACAGACCTCACTCAGGGAGAAAGACCTTGGGGTGACCATAACACCGAGCACATCACCGGAGGCACACATCAACCAAATAACCGCTGCAGCATACGGGCGCCTGGCAAACCTGAGAATAGCGTTCCGGTACCTTAATAAGGAATCGTTCAAGACACTGTACACTGTGTATGTTAGGCCCATACTGGAGTATGCAGCACCAGTCTGGAAACCCACACCTGGTCAAGCACGTCAAGAAGTTAGAGAAAGTACAAAGGTTTGCAACAAGGCTAGTCCCAGAGCTCAAGGGAATGTCGTACGAGGAAAGGTTAAGGGAAATCGGACTGACGACACTGGAGGACAGAAGGGTCAGGGGAGACATGATAACGGCATACAAGATACTGCGGGGAATAGACAAGGTGGACAGAGATAGGATGTTCCAGAGAGAGGACACAGGGACAAGGGGTCACAACTGGAAGCTGAAGACTCAGACGAGTCACAGGGACGTTAGGAAGTATTTCTTCAGTCATAGAGTTGTCAGCAAGTGGAATAGCCTAGCAAGTGAAGTAGTGGAGGCAGGAACCATACATAGTTTTAAGAAGAGGTATGACAAAGCTCAGGAAGCAGAGAGAGAGATGATCCAGTAGCGATCAGTGAAGAGGCGGGGCCAGGAGCTGAGTCTCGACCCCTGCAACCACAATTAGGTGAGTACAATTAGGTGAGTACACACACACACACACACACACGATCCAGTAGCGATCAGTGAAGAGGCGGGGCCAGGAGCTGAGTCTCGACCCCTGCAACCACAATTAGGTGAGTACAATTAGGTGAGTACACACACACACACACACACACACACACACACACACACACACACACACACACACACACACACCACACACACACACACACACACACACACACACACACGCACGCACGCACGCACACACACGCACGCACGCACTCACACACTTATATACAACAGGCCAAGTGTCTAATCGACATGTGCCTAGGACAGAATGGTAACTAACTAACACACACACACACACACACACACACACACACACGGGGCCAGGAGCTAGGACTCGACCCCTGCAACCACAAATAGGTGAGTACACACACACACACACACACACACACACACACACAGGATGTGTAGGTTAAATTTTTTTTTTTAATTTTCTGGTAAAATATAGTTGCCTATATGGGCCTATATGAGTGTCGTCCTAAAAATTAAGTCGGTGACATATTTCAAGGTTACACTGACTTTCTCCCTTTTGGTGATAGTTAAAAGACTTGTGGTACTTTTCAGAACCCCTACATGAAGGATGACTTCCTAATCAGTGTAGAGACGGTGCATGCAGCAGATAGAGGAAATACAGAGAATGTAAGTCGTGACTCAGGTGCTTAAGTTGTGTCTTGCACATTTTCAATCCTAAGAAATTATTTATATATTTGTTTTTATGTCATTACAAGTAATGAATTATTGTTGCTGTTACTATATTATGATTTTATGAAAGGGGAAGCGCTAAACCCATAAGGATCACAGAATGCTTGGGCAATGCAAGGTAATTAGGTTTGATCCGAGGAAGGGCATTTATTTATTTCATGGGAGAGCGATAAACCCATAGAGATCGTACAAAGCTTTGCCTTCCAGTGGGAGACAATCGGATTTGATCGTAAAGGAGGGCAGCTCCAGTTCTTCGGATGAAGAGCCTCTCATAGGTATTTTGCCACATTCAGCGACTAACACATTTGCATTATTTATTCATCTAACACTCATCTGCCTGATTTAATCATACAACATTCACTCTTCAGCATCACACTTATCACTTTACCTGACATTTACTTATGTGCAGGATTGGTTAAGTAAGATTCATCAGGAAACAGGATGAGTGTTTCCTGACGCGGGTCTTAGATGGTGACCCGCCGTTGGAGCTTTTGGTCATCTGACCGAGGCCTTCCGCTGGCTTACCGGTCCACCCCTATAAAAATTATCGTCATGAGTGAATGTCGCTCAGGATGGAGGTGGTATATGTGGTGATGCAACATGAATAAGGTTAACTGTTACAAACCTTGAAGGGGTGAGCATCTCAGGCCTGGTCCTAGGAAAGACGTAAGTACGCATAACAAAATATAATTATTTTGTCTTTCCAGGGGTCTTGAGAGCCTCTGGAGGTGCGGGGATGAAGAGTCAAAATCGTTCTATTATGCTAAAAACTTTGGAGGTGAAGAATATAAAATTACAATGCCGTAGCTAGAGCAGTTCACCAAAAACCCCACATTTATGAAACAATGACATTTTGGTCAGTCCTGGACCATAGCAAATCACAAATGGAACTATAGCTCGATTATTAGCGCACTCAGCTCACGCACTGAGGTCCGTGGTTCGATCCCCGGTACGAGTGGGAACATTAGGACATGTTTCCTTGTTCACCTTCGTAAATAAGTTAGTGTTAGTTGACTGGTGTAGGACGCATCCTGGGGACAAAATTGACCTAATTTGCCCGAATGATCTGCATAACTAGGGACTTTCTATATAGTAGTATGTCACTGATGTCAGCTAGGCCTGTATAAACATTAAAATGGTATAAACACACTAGGCCTGTATACCTTGTGCATGTACTTGAAAAAACTATTTACAGTGAGGAAATAAAAGAATCATTACTAGTGATAAAACCGATAATGTCCAAAACTCAACCGTACGGTTAGGGGACAGGAAGCAAAGATCGTATCACAAGGGAGGGTGAGTAGAACCGAGTGCAAAGAGTCTCATCAAACTCCAAGGATTACGTCGGTGTAGAGTGGAAGCTTTGCAATCAGTGATCGATTACGGAGTTCTGGAGGTATCGGGAGAAAGTGGGTAGACAGTAGCATATAGTGTTGAAATAATAAGTAGTATATCATGGGGCGAGAGCGCTAAACCTGCCAGGATGATACGGCACTGTTGGATAGATGTCAAAGCTTTCTTGACATGTCAGGGATTGGAACAAGATCCAATTCCCTAGATCAAGAGCCTCTCACCAGCATTAAGAAACCTGCCTTGAGAGGAGTAGTAGTAGTAATAGAAGTAGTAGTAGTAAGTAGTGGTAGTGTTGGTGGAGAGTAAGAGCAAAAGAACAGAGGGCACTAGATCTACTGGCTCATACTACTACTACTACTACTACTATTCTCATGAAGTTGACTTGACAGTAGTCCAGGTTGGACCGAAATGTCATAAAGTTCCACCTTTGAGTGTAGGTGTTTTGGTGAACGTTAGATTATTATTATTATAATCACAGGGAAGCGCTAAACCCGTAGGGTTATACAGCGCATGTGGGTGGGGGGGGATGGAAGGTATTCAGGCTCAATTCAGGAAACTGAAGCACAGATCCAATTCCCTAGATCAAGAGCCCCTCACCAGCATCAAGGAACCTCCCTTGAGGGGTGAACTTTAGAGGTGTTAGTAACAGCCACAGGACCAACAGGATGCATACTCTCCTATGTCTTCTTGACCCTGGTCAAAAACGTGTATTGCCTGTTGACGAGCTGCTACTCTAGAGTAAGTTCAATTTCCAAACAAGGAGACTTGGGGATCATACAGGTCTTCATTTAATATTATATTTATGTGGTCATGCAGTGCCTGTACAGGTCTTCAGGCATAGTAATCCTACAGGGGCAGCTCATAATCAATCTCTAATATGTACTATATTTCTTGACATTAAAGTCCCAGCCACTACAGTCTATAGTGTCTATGTAGCTTACAATGCCTGACCAAGTTAATAATACTTATTGTTATTGTTATAATCAAGGGGGAAGTGCTAAACCCATAGGATTATACAGCACAATTAATAATACTAAGGTGGCTTTCTACTAGTGGAATTAAGTAGGACCACTTCAATTTATGAAACTGACTGTTAGCTGTATCAGTGGTGATTGGTTGGTTAATGGGGTTTAAAGCCTCTTGACTTCATTAGGGATCACAGAGGCTGCAGTAATGTTTACACCATCAGACAGGAGTATTTTAATCCCTAAAATGGGGATTAAAGCAAACTATCAGCATAGTATATACGTAATTTGAGAGAAGTACATCTCATCGTGATTTATGTTAGATTTAAGCTTGCCTGAAATGCCCTACATAACCAGAGGCTTTCCACATAATAAAAATTTGTGTGATGTGGAACTAAAGCATTTATATATATTTTCATTTAGTGTTGTAGCAGCAGAGAGCAAACCTGTAAAATTAATAAATTTAAAATAAAATTAATATTTCTGAAAAATGCTATACATCAACACTTTCCATTCTTCATTATCCAACTCCCACTTTTCCAAATCTGTCAATCACAGCAAAGTGCAACATATAGACCAAACAGTTTTTTTTTATGAATCCATTGTAAAAATATTTTATTCATATTAAATATTTTTACTTTGCATGATCTATAGTGTATGCAGTACAGTATGTGATGAGAACAGTACTGCTTTTACATTTTATCATTGTACATCATGTATGTATTTTAATATTTCTTTTGCATTTCACCATTGTTCTCTTCCTTGTTATTATTATTATAATCAAGGGGGAAGCACTAAACCCATAGGATTATACAGTGCTTGGGGGAGGGATGGAAGGTATTCAGGTTTAACTCAGGGAAACTGGAGCACAGATCCAGTTCCCTAGATCAAAAGCCCCTCACCAGCATCAAGGAACCTTCCTTGAGGGGTCTCTTCCTTGTAACCTTAATGAGCACTCACTGTGCACTTTCTTGCCTTATTTTACATTTCATGTAAATAATGGAAATAGCTTATAAAGTATTCTCACATTTTCTTATATTAATTTTCTCATTTTCTTGTTTCTATTTAGAAAGATAACTCCCTCCAATGCAACAAACTATCTCCCTTCATTATACATATGCTTGTAACAAGGAAACCATCTACGTTTGCTTTCTTGTTTACCTTTCATGTCTAATAGATACATGGGCTAATGAGGAGCAAGTGGCGGGAGGTAGAGGTGGTGATGGTAGACATTGCCAACGATCCTGTCTCTGCTGCTGACTACCACCCTGATGAGGACCCCACCAAATACATCTCTAAGAAGACTGGTCGAGGACCTCTTCGAGATCCATACTGGTGGCTGCAGGTCAGTGGTGAGTCCTGGATAGGTCAGTTTATGTATACATCAGTCTCAGTATACAGTGACCTATAGCTCAGTAGGAACAAATCTTTTTATGCTTGCTATCCCTGCTCATCTAGCAATAAATAGATACTGTACTTAGATGTTAGTCAACTGTTGCAAGTCACAGCTTATGGGGTGCTAGTGTATACCTTAGATAGAGCAGGGCTTTTGAATGAACTATCATAGAATAACTGCACTCAGTGTGTAGTATAAGAAAAGAACTTTTTTGGCTATGGCAACCCACAGATAATTAACCTACTAATAAATTACAATTATTATATTTATGGGGAAGTGTAATACAGCATCTGAATTATAGTAAGGTGAAGGGTTATCAGATTTGGTACAAGAAAGGAGAGGGGGTAGCTCTAGTTCAAGGCACCTTGAAAGGTTGGTTTTCTGAAAAAGGTAAGGATATACCATATTCATAAATTATGATTGGTGAAGTTGCTATGCAGTATACATGCATTAAATGCTATACATACTACATATATGTAACATATAACTGAACAGTATGATGTGATGAATCCATACCAAATATAAACAAGAGTATGGTATTACTTAACAGATAGTGCCATCTTTAAAGAGGATACTGTATTCACATTCAGTGCTAAACATCAATACAAAATTACTTTTGCCTAAGATACACCAGTGTTTAGGGTTTGAGGAAGATCAGAAGAGGTATTCATTAGTTATTGCATGGGAAACACATAATAAAATTGCTAATTGAAATTTACACTCGAAGTGAATGCCAACTTTTCTTTTCAAAGCCCACTAACAGTGAAAGTTTGAAGCACTTCAGAAAAAGCATTCTTTGATAATTGATCTGATGGCAACAGTTCCACGTTTTTTTAACAAATTCAGTCAAATTTCAAAGTTACACCAACTTGTACTAAACTTTATGGAGTACACATCGTTCTTATTACAGAATACATCATCATTAATATTTTGAAGCCGATCATAAGAGGCATTCTTTAGTTATTGAATATAAATGAATTTCACTATTTATTCAATAAAATTGGCACACTGGGACTTATGCCACCTAATAGCAGCATGAACCTTGTGCTCAGGAAACCACACCAGCGGTGAAAATTTTAAACCGACCGGATGAGTTTTCTCCAGCTATGGTGCAATCCCAGCAATTCAAATTTTTTAGCTATTTTTGCATTGACCAATTTGCCTGTATGCAAACAAAACTTAATGGGAACTATGTTGGCCATAGGATGCATCAGCCATTAAATGTTGAAGACATTCAGAAGAGGTAAATTGGAATTTACATATTTAACATGATGTAAAGGGGAATAAAAATTTCAAACTATTCTTACACATAAAATGGTCGAATCTGCATCTACATATTTGAATTTTATTCACTGCTGCTGTCACATTAGGAGCCACCATTCTTTTTTTTTTTTTTTTGAATGGTTGAAACTATGCCACTGAGGGTTTTGGAGGCTCTCTTAGCCATTCCAGAGCTGGGAATGGGTTCAACAACTTTGGTTATACTGCACTTGTACATGACAGTTGTTCCAGGAATTTGGCTCCAGTGACTATACACAAAGGTTGAAATTTTGGTGACTGGATGAGGCCTCAAGTTGTGAGCAAAATAAAAACAAAAAGTTAGAGGAAGAAGAAAGGAAACAAAGAAAATCAGGTATTAAAGGGCCCCCTTTGAGGATACCTAATTAGTTGAATCCTGTCTCTAATTTTTATTCTCTTGACAACCCTATTTCCTCTGTAGGCAACAAACACTTATGTCCTGTATGTATATACCCACAGAGTGAGCCAGTGATGACATGCTACAAGCTGGTTTCATGTGAATTCAGGTGGTTTGGTATACAGGCACGGGTAGAGCGTTATATCCAGGACTTTGAGCGCCGCATCATCACCAATTTCCATAGGCAAGGAGCTGTTTTTTTGAAGGAGTGTGTCTGTCTTTGTCTGCCAAGTCATCTATCCATTCATGTCTCTCCTGTTTACTCACTCAGGCTGTGATTATTGGATGGAATAAAAAGACAAATACAAAACAAGCCTTTATTATGAGTGTTATGTTCTACAGTACTTAAACCTTCATTAAGTCTTCACAGAAAGCAAAATGTTGTCATAATATAAGTTTGCTCTGCATATGTCTTTTATGCCATCACATCAGCATCTCATGCCTTGTATCATGTGATTACTACCTGTTCGTTATTACCTATTTTTTTGTAAAAAGCGGAGCTCTTTACAAATTTTGTAAAACCCTTAATATTGTACCTCTTCTTGAATTCCATTTGGTCTGTCTACCACTGGGAAGCAACCCTGTCTGTTCCAATCAGGGGTAAGATAAGGTAAGATAAGATGAGATTTCGTTCGGATTTTTAACCCCGGAGGGTTAGCCACCCAGGATAACCCAAGAAAGTCAGTGCGTCATCGAGGACTGTCCAACTTATTTCCATTGGGGTCCTTAATCTTGTCCCCCAGGATGCGACCCATACCAGTCGACTAACACCCAGGTACCTATTTGCTGCTAGGTGAACAGGACAACAGGTGTAAGGAAACGTGTCGAAATGTTTCCACCCGCCGGGAATCGAACCCGGGCCCTCCGTGTGTGAAGCGGGAGCTTTAGCCACCAGGCCACCGGGCCACCCCAAGTAATTTTGTCTACCATTCATTGTACCATTTGAATTCATGTATGGAGTCTGCCTGTGTTATTTACTCGTTATGCATATTCTTGAGCTATTGGAAATCTTGTGTTTGTGTAAGAATGTTTGGATGAGGACACACTTGTATCCACATCAAGTCTGATTGTTAATGGTATTCTAATATCTTTGTGTATGGACAGACAAGTGTTCTGCTGGATGGATGAATGGTATGGTTTGACCATGGAGGACATTCGCTGCATTGAGGATCTCACCAAGAAAGAGCTGGATCAGGTCAGTGCAAATCCATTGCATCTTTGCTTATCACACATTATGAGGCTTGCCAGTATTGATGAAAAAGAGTTTACAAAGACACCCATGTACATGTGTGTGCATATACTATATATTCATGTAATTTAAAAATATTTTCACAAGTGAGAATTAGTCTTGTATTTATTTATTTACAGCAAAGACGAGAGGGAACAGTAAGAGGCACCCTGGGATGAAGCTGTCTTTCAAGTTTGCTTAGAATGCAGCTGTCTTCTTCACTATAACCAGTTATTTATAATCCTGTATAATTCAAATTTGAGTCATTCACCAAATGGCTCGCACCTGGCAACTTATCATGTAAAGATAAATAACCATTGTATAGGTCGGCCATCGTTAATCCGGCATCATCGGGACCTGTAGAGTGCCAGATTAATGATTTTGCTGGATTACAGAGTGGTTAGGGCAGAATACACTTAATGGTGATATTTACACATCGTGATTTCATCCACTTTATGCTCTATTTTTGTCCCATTCCATTGTTCCAGTCTACCAAACTCATAGCTATTTCGCTAGTATTCCTTCTATTCTGTCGACTGAGTACAAGAAACCACCCATTCACCTATTTCAACTACCCAATAAAGTGGTTAGAAATCGTAATTTGGCCAATTTCACACAAATTTCAAAAGATGCCAGTTCCGAAATAGGATCCAGAATAAACAGTGCAAATGTGTATTCCTAGCATTAAAATAACATTTTCTCTGTTCATTTGTCACATCTCCAGGCCCCTCTTATATTATGCTTGCTTTCTATTTTGAATTTTTATTCATACAAAAAATAGAAGATTTACTGTTATGCAGACTACTGCATTATTATAATAATTCTATAAATAATGTCAACTCATTCATGACTGTGTATTAGACCGGCCAGTTGGACACATATTGGATGGTGACATCATTTGTTTATTCTTGAACATCAGCAAAAATCAAACATTTCCACTACTTTGAGCCCAATTTTAAGGTACTTTCCAGCGTGAAACCAATCAAAATTATATCTATTTCTGTAATATATTTTCCATTCTATCAGATGAGACCAAAAAACGAGAATACAACCATACAAACCATATGAAAATACACTGCAAAGTCGGGTTTACACCATAAGCACGGTCGCAGTTTTTTCTCATTATGCATTGCATGCTGCAAGATTTTTTTATATAGTGCACACTTGCCACACAGACCTATTCTCTCATATGTAGGCCCAAATTTACCAGTCACAGCTTATCTGAGTGAACTGAGCTCATGTGACGACAGTGGCTTCAAAGCCCCTTAATCTTTTATGGACAATGTATGGTGTATGTGCTTTACACAATGAGAAGCATTTCTATTATTCATTGGAACTATGGCTAGGGCTGAAAGTGAGCAGGTTATAACAATAAATGGAGAAAAAGAAATTGGAATGACTTGTGCAGCAAGTAGCAACACCAAACAGTAGTGGCAGGTTGGTGTGGTGACCCCTGAAATCTGAAAGTATGCTAGCTGACTTAGTGCCAGATTACTGATGGAACTGGATTGCTGATTGCCGGATTAGTGATGGCCAACCTGTACCATTATGGTACATTTGAAAAACAGGCAGGTACACATTTAGCAGATTTGATTGAGTTCTGCTTATTGGTTTACACATTAAGAAAATTTAGTAAAATTTTTTTTTTTGTTTGTTTGTTTTGCATACTAGAAAGGACACTTACCCTTGAGGATAGGCTGGTTTAGTATAACTGCACAGTACAGTATTATACTTAGACATATGCCCTGTTTATTAAAATTTTATTTCAAATACTATATATCAGTTTTCACATTAGATTAATGTGTTTTAAAATAGTGATATTATTTATCCTGTTCTCATGCCACAAGTGATACAAGTGTCTTTTTTAATTTGCTCATATGTGGTTAATATACTGTAAGTATTCTTTACACGTTTACATAACTTACTCTAACATAACAAGAAAATAATTTTCGCAGGTTTACAGGAAACAGTCAGAAATTGGGAATAGTTGAAGAAAATTAATATAATAAAATGAGGACAAGTTTGTACAGTATTATAATAAGTGTCCATATTGATTTGTTGAAAATACAGATGAAACGTTAAATGTCTAAGCTGAATGTTGATGTCAAAGCTGAATGTTTTATCACTTTTTCAAGAAACCACATATACAGAGTATACAAAAAAGAAAAATGAGTTTTATGAAAAAGTTGCAGTGTACATACTGATAATTTTGTTATTCTTCATCCATACCTTATAATAAAACTTTTTCCTGTTCATAAAGAAGACTCCATCATTAGTTGTAACAATACTAGAGGACTAGAGTAATTACTACAGGAAGTCAGTTGAAATATTCAATGTTATACAGTGGCAACTCTGCCTGTGTCCTTCCCTTGTGTCTTCTTCCTCTTCCTCTCGTATCTCCACTGTGTAGCACTGAATGACCGTTGTTTGTTTAGCACTCTCCACAATTATTATTATTATTAATATATAGTCGGACTTGAGTCCTGGAAATGGGAAGTACAATGCCTGCACTTTAAAGGAGGGGTTTGGGATATTGGCAGTTTGGAGGGATATGTTGTGTATCTCTATACGTATATGCTTCTAAACTGTTGTATTCTGAGCACCTCTGCAAAAGCAGTGATAATGTGTGAGTGTGGTGAAAGTGTTGAATGATGATGAAAGTATTTCTTTTTGGGATTTTCTTTCTTTTTTTTTTGGGTCACCCTGCCTCGGTGGGAGACGACCGACTTGTTGAAAAAAAAAAAAAAAAAAAAAAAATAATATAAGAGAGCACTAAACCTGTAGGGATATACAGCACCCATGGGGGAAGGGGGGGGTGGAAGGCATTCAGGCACAGTTCAGGGAACCGGAACACAGATCCAATTCCCTAGATCAAGAGCCCCCTCACTAGTATCAAGGAACCTCCTTTGAGGGGGGACACTCTCCACAAATAGTATAATGTAGAAAATTATTGTAGTCACAAAATGCACCAAACTTGAATGGGTCATAAAGTATTATTATGTAGAAAAATATTTTCCTTAATATAAATTTTAAGTCACTAATAGTATATGAAGTAACATTATACTGTAATACAGTATATATATTTTCTTTAGATACAGTATTTTATTGTGGTTTGGAGGATCATCTGTAATGTCAGCATGCTTCTGGAAAGATAGTGATTGATAGTAAAAGTACTTTCTTCTCTGTTGGGTCATCCTACCTTGGTGGGAGACAGCTGGAGTGTTAAAAAAAATAACAGTATTTGAAAATATTGTACCTCTAATCATAAAATTCATTAACAGCTAACACTGTAATATCAGTTATAGGCCAAATACCTGTAATGTATTTAAAAATGCTGTGATGACTGATTTGATAATGCTATTTTTTTAACTTATTAGTCTGTATATGATCCCATATGAAATCTAGATTTTTTAATAATAAATATTAATTTAATGTTTGGCATGTTTTACTGTCCTTGTATTTAAATAATCTGAGGTGTTAATCATATTCTGCAATGATAGTACTCTTCTGATTGGGGTATTTGGTACAGTGGTACCTCGAGAAACGAACTTAATTCTTTCCAGGAGGCTGTTCAAGTGCCGATACCGAACAAATTTGTTCCCATAATGAATAATGTAAATTAGATTAGTCCGTTTCAGACCCCTAAAAATACAGTTACAAAAGCACTTACAAAAATACACTTACATAATTGGTAGAGTTGGGAGCTATTGGAAACTCGTGGTACCACTGTACCATGATTGATATTGGTTGGTATTACAGTATTATTATAATCAAACCTATGCACTAAACCACTAGGATCACAGTGCTGCTTTTGGTTGGTATACTGTACATTATTTGGTACTGGGATAGCACTCTTCTGGTTGAGATATTTAGTACTAGGAGATTATTATTATTATTATAATCACAATGAAGCACTAAACCTACAAGGGTACTAGGAGAGTATTCATCTGATTGAGATATTTAGTACTGGAACAGTACTCATCTGGTTGAGATATTTGGTACTGGGATAGTGTTCTACTGGTTGAGATACTATATTTGGTGTGATGATAATACTTTCTTGGTTGAAATATTTGGTATTTACTGGTTTAGTGTTCTCCAGGTTAATTAAGATTATTTCTGAAAATTTCAAGGGTTTAATTCATCAGCATTGTATACCACTGATATAGAAAAGGAGAGAGAAAAAATGAGATGAATAACAGAGTTTACTACGTTATTTTAGCTAACACTATATAGCAATTTAAACCAACAGTTCACCATGCACCCTTAGTGAACACCAGACAGCACTCATCATTTATCTTAAACAGAAGAAATCATTTCCTACCACCAACTTTTATTTAGAATATAATGCAAATAATGGGATTAGTTTTAACCAATTATCTAAGATGCATATTTCAGAAATAGTACATGATGCTTAAATCATCTACACATTTCTACATTCATCACTTTGGAAGTGGATATATGGAGTATTTTTATGGCAAGAGGAACACATATCTGTATATTATTTCGTGCTAGTCAGTTTGTTTAGTATTTAATTATGAAGATTTATTGTTAGGATTATCATCACAAGGAATACCTTCCACTGTGTATAGCTGAAATACTTTCAAGGTCATCTATTATAATAACCCATTTTTTTTTCTTTTGTTTTTTAACATGTTGGCTGTCTCTCACCGAGGCAGGGCGACCCAAAAAGAAAGAAAAACCCAAATAGAAATAACCCATATATGGCACTTTTATATATTGTATAACAGGCTTGATGTGTATTTATATGCTGAGTGAGCCAGGGGTGCAGTACTTGGCATACCTTGCATTAACTGCCTGGTGCTTGCATACAAAGTGGAAGACATGGTTACAATTTAGCAAACTGCTAGGTTCAGCCTTCCACCTCCCCAAACTTGCTCAGAGATCATCAGTTGGTGATTTGCTGCCGATGGGAAGGGTGTTAGCGAATGTTCCGTCTCTATTAGCATAACCTCACACACAAACACCTTATGTCATTTTTGAGATTTAAAATTTCTGGGCATTGTCTTGTGTCGACAGTCATTGTCCATTGCATGGACAGGGAATTGGATCAATACTCCTTTACCTTGAGCTGAACCTGATTACCTTCCATTTTCCCTGGTGCTGTATGACCCTCTTCAGGCCTAGTGCTTCCCCTATTACATGTATTATATTATTATTAACACATCGGCAGTTTCCCACCAAGGCAGGGTGGCCCGAAAAAGAAAAACTTTCACCGTCATTCACTCCATCACTGTCTTGCCAGAGGCATGCCTACACTACAGTTATAAATCTGCAACATTAACACCCCTCCTGCAGAGTGCAGACACTGTACTTCCCATCTCCAGGACTCAAGTCCAGCCTGCCAGTTTCCCTGAATCCCTTCATAAATGTTACCTTGCTTACACTCCAACAGCACGTCAAGTCCTAAAAACCATTTGTCTCCATTTGCTCCTGTCTAACAGGATTGATGGGATAAAGACAGAAATGCTAAAAGCAGTTGGGGATATAGTTTTGGAATGGTTGATGCTTTTATTTAATAAATGTATGGAATAGGGGAAGGTACCTAGGGAACAGCAGAGAGCATGCATAGTTCCTCCGTACAAAGGCAAAGGGGACAAAAGAGAGCGTAAAAATTATAGAGAGAGAAGCCTATTGAAGGTAGGTAGTAGGTTGGTAGACAGCAACAGCCCAGGGAGGTACTACCGTCCTGCCAAGTGAGTGTAAAACGAAAGCCTGTAATTGTTTTACATGATGGTAGGATTGCTGGTGTCTTTTGTCTGTCTCATAAATATGCAAGATTACAGGTAAGTCTTGCTACTTCTACTTACACTTAGGTCACACTACACATACATGTACAAGCATATATATACACACCCCTCTGGGTTTTCTTCTATTTTCTTTCTAATTCTTGTTCTTGTTTATTTCCTCTTATCTCCATGGGGAAGTGGAACAGAATTCTTCCTCTGTAAGCCATGCGTGTCGTAAGAGGCGACTAAAATGCCGGGAGCAAGGGGCTAGTAACCCCTTCTCCTGTATATATTACTAAATTTAAAAGGAGAAACTTCAGTTTTTTCTTTTGGGCCACCCCACCTCAGTGGGATACGGCTGGTACGTTGAAAGAAGAAGAAGAAGCCTATTGAATTCTCCATGGGAAAGTGGAGCAGAATTCTTCCTCTGTAAGCCATGAGTGTTGTAAGAGGCAACTAAAATGCCAGGGAAGGGGGGTTAGTAACCCCCTTCTCCTGTATATACAGTATTACTAAATTTAAAAAGAGAAACTTTTGTTTTTGGGTCACCCTGCTTTGGTGGGATATGGCCAGTTTGACGGAAAATAAAAAACTGTTGAGTATACCTGGTAAAGTGTATGGTAGTTATTATTGAAAGACAAGTAAGGCAGAGCAGGATCACAGATGAACAAAGAGACTTTAGGAAGGGGAGGTGTGTAGACCAAGTGTTTACAGTGAAGCAAATAGGTGAACAGTATTTAGATAAGGGTAAAGAGGTTATCATTGCATTTATGAATTTGGAAAAGGCATATGATAGGGTGGATAGTGGAGCAATGTGGCAGATGTTGCAAATGTATGGAATAGGTGGTAGGTTAATGAAAGCAGTTAAAGAGTTTTTACAGGGATAGTGAGGCTCAGGTTTGAGTATGTAGGAGAGAGGGAGATAATTTACCAGTAAACGTAAGCCTTAGACTGGGATGTGTGATGTCAACATGGTTGCTCAATATAGTTATAGATGGTGTTGTAAGAGAAGTGAATGCTCAGGTGATGGCAAAGGTGTGGGATTGAGAGATAAGGAATCTAAGATAAAGTGGGAGTTATCACAGTTGCATTTTGCTGATGACATTGTGCTTTTGGGAGATACTGAAGAGAAGTTGCAGAGGTTGGTGAACGAGTTTGGAAGGGTATGTAAAAGAAGGAAATTAAAAGTGAATGTAAGAAAGAGCAAGATGATGAGGATAACAAAAAATTTAGGTAATGAAAGATTGAATATCAGACTGGGAGGGTGGGAGTATGGAGGAAGTGAATGTAATCGGATACTATTTGGGAGTGGACTTGTCAGCAGATAGGTATATGAAAGACGAGGTGAATCACAGAACTAACGAGGGAAAAAAATGTGAGCACTCAGGAGTCGGTGGAGACAAAGATATCCATGGAAACGAAGGGGGAAAAAGAATGGGAGTATAGTGATACCAATGCTCTTTTATGGGTGTGAAGCATGGGATGGTGAATATTGCAATTAGGAGAAGGCTAGAGGCAGTGGAGATGTCGTGTCTGTGGGCAATGTGGGGGTGTGAATATAATGCAGAGAATCCATAGCTTGGAGATTAGGAGGTGTGGGATTTCTAAAAGTATTATCCAGAGGTCAGAGGAAGGGTTGTTGAGGTGGTTCGGACATTTAGAGAGGATGGAACAAAATGCAATGGCTTGGAGGGCATATAAATCTGTAATGGAAGGAAGGCGGGGTAGGGGTCATCCTAGGAAAGGTAGGAGGGAGGGGTTTGGACTTATAGCAAGCATGCACGAGCATGTTAGATAGGAGGAAGTGGAGATGAATGGTTTTCATGACTTGATGTGCTGTTGGAGCATGAGCAAAGTAACATTTATGAAAGGATTCAGGGAAACTGGTTAGCTGGACTAGAGTTGTGGTGATGGGAAATACAGTGCCTGCACTCTGAAGGAGGGGTGTTGATATGTTGCAGTTTTTTAACTGTAGTGTAGGCATGCCTCTGGCAAGACAGTGATGGAGTGAACAATGAAAGTTTTTCTTCTTTTTTTGGGTCACCCCTGCCTCGGTGGGAAATGACCGATGTGTTAATAAAAAATAATAATTCTGTGTAATATTAATAATAATAAATTTCCTTTCATACATAACAAGTACATAAACTGTACTTAGAATATTTCTATTAATCTTTATATGTAAAAGGTCTAAATAAAATGCAAACCATAATTTAGCATTATATTTCCCTAAAAATATACAAAAATAATTACAGTACCTTACATTTTACTTTATTCCGAAGATTCAAGACCTTGCAAAGTCACTTAGTTTGCAGAGTTATTGGAAGGCTGCTTTTCTAGTTTATTTTTCTGGTGTTGTGGTTTTTTGAAGGTTTGGTGCAGTATCTTGTGAAGCCTAGAAGCTTTCTGAGGACCTAGGCCTGGACACATGGACAACTCGTCCTCAGTTGCCTGCACAATCTTTTCTAGGGAACCAAAGGTTGATAAGAGTGTCATGGCATCTGTACGATTGATAGACTTGATAGATGTTAGGGAATCAATAAGCTGAAAAAAGTAAGTAATAAATTTTCAAAATATCATTGGACTTTTTCAAATATTGTATATACGTATATTCTATCAGTATATTTTATTTTTACTTTATATATGACTTCCAGCAAGCGTGCGTGAGCGTGTTAGATAGGAGTGAATGGAGACGAATGGTACTTGGGACCTGGCGATCTGTTGGAGTGTGAGCAGGGTAATATTTAGTGAAGGGATTCAGGGAAACCGGTTATTTTCATATAATCAGACTTGAGTCCTGGAAATGGGAAGTACAATGCCTGCACTTTAAAGGAGGGGTTTGGGATATTGGCAGTTTGGAGGGATATGTTTTGTATCTTTATATGTGTATGCTTCTAAACTGTTGTATTCTGAGCACCTCTGCAAAAACAGTGATAATGTGTGAGTGTAGTGAAAATGTTGAATGATGATGAAAGTATTTTCTTTTTGGGGATTTTCTTTCTTTTTTGGGGGTCACCCTGCCTCGGTGGGAGACGGCCGACTTGTTGAAAAAAAAAAAAAAAAAAAATGTCACCCTGTGTGTTAGCAACTAAATCAGTTACAAATGAATGCTTATAAATCCTCATTAAAAGCAGACATTCAAGATTATATTGACTGAAATAAAGAGTTAATACAGACTTTCAAATTGGTCTATAACATACAGGTAAACCCTCAATATAAATAACTTAAGAAATAACAAAATCCACTCTCTAAACTGTACTTACAACACATTTATTTTCAATAATAATTGCAGTATACATATTTGTAAATTATATGGATAGTACTATATTAGGTATACAATAAAGTACCTTAGTGCTTCTTCTGCAATTTCTATAACTTTATTCTGATTTAATAGACACATGGAAAATCTTCCCTATTAGTCCAATATGCTGAGGGGTTTATGTCCCTTTATGACAAGTTAATTTATAAGTGAGATCTCCACCCCCATTTAATTTTCCACTTTCACATGCAATTCCTCATTTTGCATAATCCAAAATACAAATTCCTAGTATCTTTTAATTGTGTACTGTATTTGATTATCAACATGAGTCAGTAACCATTTTACGTTCACCTACACAATAGTAAACATATTGCTCATCACAGATAGACCCTCCATTATAATTTACTAGTAATAAACCACATTCATTAAGATGAACTGATACAGGTAAAGTGGGCATAGTAAAATTTAAAATAATATTTACATTACTTCTAGGTAGTAGATTGGTAGACAGCAACCGCCCAGGGAGGTACTACCATCCTGCCAAGTGAGTGTAAAACGGAAGCCTGTAATTGTTTTACATGATGGTAGGGTTGTGGGTGTCTTTTTATTGTCTCATACACATGCAAGATTTCAGGTACGTCTTGCTACTTCTACTTACACTTAGGTCACACTATACATACATGTACAAACATATATACAGTGGTCCCTCAATAATCGTCCATAATCCGTTCCTGGAAGTGGGACTATTATCGAAATGGACGATTTACGAATCAATTTTCCCCATAAGAAATAATGTAAATTCAATTAATCCGTTCCTGCACCCAGAAGTATTAAAACAAAAAAATTTTTTACATGAAATATAAATGTAGTACATAAACAACACAGTGGCACATGATGAATTAAACATTAACAGAATAACACTTACCTTTATTGGCGATTCTTCTTTGTGTATGGAAGACTGGAGAACAAGACAGATTGGATGATTTACTGTTTGGAAGGGGAATCCCCTTCCATCAACACCTCGGGTACCAATTGATTTTCTGGGGTTACTTCTCTTCTCTGTTTCTTAATGCCACTAGGACCACCTTGAGAATCACTGGAGTCCTGTCTCGCACAAAAACTGTCCAGAGAGCTAGCTCTGTTTCTGGCGTCTCTTTAAAACTTCCCTAAAATGGGCCAAGACTCTGTCACTGTACAAGTTGCTGATATGGCTTGCAACATCCTTCTCTGGGTGATGTTTCTCCATAAATCTTTCCATCCTACCCCACATTTCAAAAATCTCCTTAATTTCTGAAGAAGGCACCTTCCTCCATCTCTCTTCCTCCTCCTCTGCAGCAAGATTCTGAGCTGCGATCTGTTGCTCTTCCTGCTGAAGCTCTTGCAGCTCCTCAGTGGTTAGCTCTTTGTTGTGGTCCCCCACCAACTCTTCCACATCCTCCAAACTCACATCCAACCCCATGGAACTCCCCAGTGCCACAATGGATTTAACAACTGACATAGGCTCATCAGGGTCAGCCCTAAACCCTTCAAAATCCCTCTTGTGGACACAATCTGGCCACAATTTTCTCCAAGCAGAGTTCAAAGTCCTGGTAGTCACTCCCTCCCAAACCTTACCTATAAAGCTTATGCAATGGAGAATACTGAAGTGTTTTTTCCAAAAATCTCGTAGGGTCAAGTGAGTGTCTGAGGTCACATTCAAGCACCTTTCAAACATTGCTTTGGTGTAGAGTTTTTTAAAGTTTGCAATGACCTGCTGGTCCATGGGCTGGAGGAGAGGAGTGGTATTTGGGGGCAAGAACTTTACTGCGATGAACCCAAACTCCTTCAGAATTAGGTCATCCAAGTTTGGAGGATGAGCAGGTGCATTGTCCATTACTAGGAGGCACTTGAGATCCAATTTCTTTTCCAGGAGGTAATTCTTCACACTAGGGCCAAACACTACATTGAACCACTCGACGAAAATGTCCCTTGTAACCCATGCCTTACTATTAGATCTCCAAAACACACACAATTTACTCTTCATAACATTGTTTTTCTTGAACACTCTGGGATTTTCAGAATGGTACACTAGTAACAGCTTCACTTTGAAATCCCCACTAGCATTAGCACAGAACATTAGCATCAGCCTGTCTTTCATAGGCTTGTGTCCTAGCAGCGCCTTTTCTTCCTGAGTAATGTAGGTCCTCTTTGGCATTTTCTTCCAAAAGAGGCCTGTTTCATCACAATTGAATACTTGTTCAGGTTTCAGTCCTTCACTGTTTATGTACTCCTTGAATTCATGCACATATTTTTCAGCCGCCTTGTGGTCCGAACTGGCAGCCTCACCATGCCTTACCACACTGTGTATGCCAGTACGCTTCTTAAATCTCTCAAACCAGCCTTTGCTGGCCTTAAATTCACTCACATTACCACTAGTTGCAGGCAATTTCTTTACCAAATCGTCATGCAACTGCCTAGCCTTTTCACAAATAAGCGACGTCATAAGACTATCTCCTGCTAATTGTTTCTCATTTATCCACACCAATAATAACTTCTCAACATTTTCGAGTACTGGTGATCTCATTTTTGTCAGCATATTTACCCCCTTTGCAACAACAGCGTCTTTGATTTCCTTTTTCTTGGCTATGATGGAAGATATGGTTGTATGGGATTTGTTATACATCCTGGCCAGTTCGCCCACACGTACGCCACTATCATATTGTTCAATGATGTTTTTCTTAAATTCAATCGTATTTCTCACCTTCTTTACCAAAGGCTTGGCACTAGGAGCTTTCTTTGGAGCCATGGTAGCTTATTAGCACTTAAATAACTTTCAAGCACTAAAATAAATGGAATACAGTGGACCCCCGCATAACGATTTTAATCCGTGCAAGAGGGCTCATTGGTATGCGAATGAATTTTCCCCATAAGAAATAATGGAAATCAAATTAATCCGTGCAAGACACCCAAAAGTATGAAAAAAAAATTTTTACCACATGAAATATACATTTTCCTACACACAAAGAGAAGGATACATGCACAATAGTAGAGTAGTACATGCACAGTATATATTGTGCATGTACTAGTCTACTAAATGAAGAATAAATGACACTTACCTTTATTGAAGATGCAGCAATGACTGATGAGACACTGTGTCCTGGGAGTGCCTTTTCCTCCTGAGTACTGTAGGTCCTGTTTGGCATTTTCTTCCAGAACAGGCCTTATCACACTGTGTATGCCACTACGATTCTTAAATCTCTCAAACCAACCTTTGCTGGCTTTAAATTCACCAATATGAGCACTAGTTCCAGGCATTTTTCCCTGTTCACCTGGGTGTTAGTCGACTGGTGTGGGTTGCATCCTGGGAGACAAGATTAAGGACCCCAATGGAAATAAGTTAGACAGTCTTCGATGACACTGACTTTCTTGGGTTATCCTGGGTGGCAAATCCTCTGGGGTTAATTGTTTCTTGGTATTCTCAATAAGCCACACCAACAACGGTGCTACAGCAGCAGCAGCAGCTGACGGTGGTATAGCAGCAACAGACGATGCTACAGCAGCAGCAGACGATGCTACAGCAGCAACAGATGATGTTACAGTAGCAGCAGACGATGCTACAGCAGCAGCAGCAGCAGACGATGCTACAGCAGCAGCAGACGATGCTACAGCAGCAGCAGATGATGCTACAGCAGCAGCAGCAGCTGACAGTGCTACAGCAGCAGCAGACGATGCTACAGCAGCAGCAGACGATGCTACAGCAGCAACAGACGATGTTACAGCAGCAGCAGACGATGCTACAGCAGCAGCAGCAGCAGACGATGCTACAGCAGCAGCAGCAGCTGACAGTGCTACAGCAGCAGCAGACGATGCTACAGCAACAGCAGACGATGCTACAGCAGCAGCAGCAGCTGACAGTGCTACAGCAGCAGCAGACGATGCTACAGCAGCAGCAGACGATGCTACAGCAGCAGCAGCAGCTGACAGTGCAGCAGCAGCAGCAGCTGTACCACCAATAGTAGCGATGGTTGATTGGGGTTTATTATACAACCTGGCCAGCTCGGAGACACGCACTCCACTTTCATACTTATCAATGATCTTTTTCTTCATCTCTATTGTAATTCTCACCCTTATTGCTGTAGGGTTGGCACTAGAAGCTTTCTTGGGGCCCATGGTCACTTATTTTCCAGATAAAGCACTGAAAACAATGTAATAATACGAAATGTTCTGATTGTATGCTTGGATGTTACCGCGGAGGCTGGCTGGTAAACAATGGCACGGGCGGCACACGTGAGGCTGGCTGAGGGCGCACATTGGACACGTCTCGGACGAACAGCGGTGAGCGGGTTTTTAAGCGGTATGCGAGGCAAAATTTTTGCGATTAAAGCAAGCGGTATGCGGATTAATCGTTATGTGATGCCAACGGTATGCGGGGGTCCACTGTATTATGAAATATTTCGCTGGAGCATGTAAGGGGACCGTCGCTCACTGGTAAACAATGGCACACTGGCTGGGAAGGAAAGGCCGAGGTGGCTCAGAGCGTGAGTACGCGTTCGGGACGAAGGACTATTAGCGAGTTACCGGACCATTTGCGAGCCAATATTTTGATGAAAAAAACAGGACTATTTCCGAAATGGACGACTTTCAGGCCGGACGATTATTGAGGGACCACTGTATACACACCCCTCTGGGTTTTCTTCTATTTTGTTCTAGTTCTTGTTCTTGTTTATTTCCTCTTACCTCCATGGGGAAGTGGAACAGAATTCTTCCTCCGTAAGCCATGCGTGTTGTAAGAGGCGACTAAAATGCCGGGAGCAAGGGGCTAGTAACCTCTTCTGTATAAATTACTAAATGTAAAAGGAGAAATTTTCGTTTTTCCTTTTGGGCCACCCTGCCTTGGTGGGATACGGCCAGTGTGTTGAAAGAAAGAAAGATTTACATTACTCAAGGTAGTAGGCTGTAGACAACAACCACCCAGGGAGGTACTACCATCCTGCCAAGTGAGTACAAAATGGAAGCCTGTAATTGTTTTACATGATGGTAGGATTGCTGGTGTCTTTTTTTCTGTCTCATAAACATGAAAGGTTTCAGTTATGTCTTTCTACTTCTACTTACACTTAGGTCACACTACACATGCATGTACAAGCATATACAGTGGTACCTCGGTATACATCCTTAATCCATCCCAGGACCTAGAACTTATACCAAACAGGATGTATACCAAACGAATTTTCCCATAAGAAATATTCGGAAAATGATTAATCCATTCCCATGAAAAAAAAAAATCCTATTGTTATTGCCATATTATACATTGATGGGGTTGTATAAATAATTAAAACACTGCTTAATACTAAAATACACATATAATTTAAACACTGCTTAATAATAAAATACAAAGAATTAGATGAAATAAATGCAAATTTAACCTCACTTTACTTTGCTGAAAAGAGTCGAGTGTCTACTAGAATAGTGCTGAGAAGGGAGGAGGAGGAAATGTTATTGTTTGGAAGGAGATTCCCCTTCTCTTTCCTGTCTCTTTTCCCTATTTGGATCTGGCTGAAGCTCACCAGGTTTGACTTTTACTAACAATCTGTCCAAAGAACTTTGCTTCTGCCTTCTCTTCAGGATGTTTTGGAAATGTGACATTGTTTGGTCATTCCAGACAATGCTATTACGGCTTGTTTGGGCTTTGTTTGGGTGGTACTTCTCTGTAAAGTTTTTGACATCTATCCATTTGGCAAAGATTTCCTTGATTAATGAAGTAGGGGCTTCCTCTATCTCCTCTTCCGAGCAGCTCCCCAGTGGTCAGCTCTTCCCTTTGCCTCTCCAATAACTCCTCCACATCACCATCACTCACATCCAGACCCATGGACCTGCCCAGAGAGACAATATCCTCCACTATAAGCACAGCCTCAAAGCCCTCAAAATCCCTTTCAGCCACTGCTTCTGACCACAAATTCCTCTAGCTGTGGCTTTGTCTCAAGGTTAGCGCGCAGTGTTGTGACTCATTCTGACCCATACAAGTTCTAGCACACGAGTCATATTCCAAACAAAGGTCGTATACCAAGCAAAAATTTCCACGTCCAAACAGGACGTATACCAAGTTGGACTTATTCCAAAGCAGACGTATACTGAGGTACCACTATACATACAAACCCCTCTGGGTTTTCTTTTATTTTCTTACTAGTTCTTGTTCTTGTTTATTTCCTCTTATCTCCATGGGGAAGTAGAACAGAATTCTTCCTCTAAGCCATCTGTGTTGTAAGAGGAGACTAAAATGCCAGGAGCAAGAAGCTAGTAACCCCTTCTCCTGTATATATATTACTAAAGTTAAAAAGAGAAACTTTCATTTTTCTTTTTGGGTCACCCTGCTTCGGTGGGATATAGCCGATTTGTTGAAAGAAGAAGATTTACATTACTTGAGAAATGACAACCAGTGGTCAAGGCATGCATACCAAAAATGCAAAGCCTAATTAAGATGTATAAATTTGCAGAATATATAATTCAGAAATAAGTATTATGAATTGAGCTAGCAAAAAAATACAAAATCTACTTGCCATTGAGTATGGATTGGATTCTTGTTTCTCCATTATAAGGTCAGGTGGCTTGTGCTCAAACATCTTGTATACTTCTATAATGCGCCCTGCCTCTTCTTGGTCCCATGCTAGCATCAGAGTCATGTCTGCCATCACACAGATCTTGGTTAATTGCTTTAACTCATGATGTGGATCCTTAACATCAACCTGAAGATGAGAAACTATTGACTAATTCTTGGCCCAAAAATCTCAACTGTCATGTTTTCAACACGAAGTGTATAAACAAGCAAAAAAAATTTCAAGTCAGTCAGTCCGCCTTCATATGTTTAAATGAAAATTAATTTATTCTGCAAATAAGTGAAAGGCATTTGAGTTCCCGCTGTTAAAAATACAGTACATAAATATATATTAGACAAATCTCAAGGTAAATAATTTAATAAGCACATTAACCATTTTGTTTAATAAAGATTATTCTAAATATCACTTTACTTACAAGCACTAGCAGAACTCGCAGCTTGTACTGACGGCCTAGCTGTTTGAGTCGGTCGTGAATGTAGTTTGGGTTGAGATTGTGGTAACGTAGACTCAAAAACATGGCACAAGTGGTGGCTCCCATAACATAATCAGGAATTATCTCTCCATACTCCCAAGGAACATTACGAATAGATTTAAGTATTGGATTACCCCTCTGAGAAGAAGAAAGTTTCATAAATTTCAACAAAAAATCTTAAAACGAGAAATAAAATATCAGGATGCCAATTACATCAATAAGGATAAGAGAAAGTACATTAAACTTAATCATTCTATATGCCCAACGCAATACCAAATGAGTAAATTAATGGAAATTTGTAGTTTTAGACCACTTACTTGCCTTAAACTAACAATGACACAGTTCTTTGCAGAAGGCTTTGTTCCAGCCCCTGAAGATTTTGCAGCATTTTCTCCTGCTGTTTTCACCTCTGATGGAGGTTCCTCATAGAATTCTGATTTCTTCAAGTTACTGAATGCCTCTGTTGGAAAATTATGCACTGTACTTTGAAAATGAGGAAAAATATCTGGTATAGGTTATGGGATAGTGTGTTTGTGGGGAGTGTTAGGGAGGGAAGAAACACAGCAGTATAGTAAGTGAATTAAAATTTAAGTGATTAACAGTGGACTTACCATAGGGAAAATTCGTCTTGAGACAAAGATAGGCTTTATTCAGGAAATCTACAAATAATTTTACAGTACAGTCATATGTACATGTACAATGGTTCTTCTGAAAGTACACAGGTGTTGTAGGCACACATTATTAATAATTTTTGTATATTAGTCTAGGATAACCTAAAAATAAAATTAATGTGGCACTTCCATTAGGGGCCTTACTGGCATCAACCTAAGTACTGTAGTGTAATTTACACCTGTCTTTAATAAATAAAAGTATACTGTAATGTAGGCTGCTCCTTTATTTTTTTAACAGATTTTCTTGTATGAATGTTTTTAGTGTAACAATTAAATTTCAAATGAAGCACCTCAATTTCAATGTCTTCAAGCTTAATAAGTTTTTGTTTATTAAAATACCTTTATAAATGTAAAATGATAAAAAAACATAACAAAAGAGAGGCAGTTTTTTGCAAACATCCTATTGGCAGTTACCATGCTTCCTCACCAATTCTAAAATTCTTTAAATTCCTTTTGTCTCAATATGCCATTACTGTATTCTCTTTTGACATCTCTTATCTTTAATGTAAAGTGCAGTAGTATTCCTGTTTCTCAATTACTGCATTCTGTATACCTGATACACACACACACTACACTATCTCTTGACTTCACCTTTTCTTAACCAAAATTCCCAAAATGTCAATTTGCATTTGATATACACATTTATCTTTATATTACACATCACTACATTTATATTATACAATACTACTACAATGCCAAATACTTCAGATTAATCTAAAAACTTATAAAAACCTACATAAAAACACAGCACTATAATTTGTTTAATGGCCCATGCTAGCTAGGCAGGTCTTTCTTTCCCCACAATTGTATGTGGATGTCATAATTCTTAATTATTTGTTGCCATCTTCAGAAAAGTGAAAAACATAAAATATTATTGTATTTATGCTAAGCATTAACCCATCAGGGCTACACAGCACTTGAGAAATGGGAGGTAAATCAGGTTTAATCTAAGAATAGGAGGACAGCATCAAGTGAGGTAAGAAAGTGTATTAAGATGAATAATCTTAAGTATATTATATTATATTAATGTAAAAGAGGGCATACTGAGAAAGAGAACTAATGGTACTTAATGCACTTACTGGAGAAAGATGATTTAGCACCATTTTCATCCTGTCTTTTGGCAATGTCAATGTAACCAGATTTAATTCTGTTTTCTGTAGAATTTGAATCTGAGTTTCCTTGTTGTCCAATTTCTTCCTCTAGTTCAGACATAATTACTAATCTGATGGGAATTAAGCTTAGATATTAAATTAGACTTTAAAATTCCTTAAACAAATTATGATCTAACTGAATGATAATAGTGCAGCTTGAGCAGAACAAATTGTATTATGTGCCTAATCTTTTTCTTAACACATTGGCCATTTCTCACCAAGGCAAGGTGATCCAATAAGAAAATTTACCTAAATACAGCACTTGGATTTGGCTAAAATATACTGTACACAAAATCATTTATTTTTTTTCAATCTGCAGAAACTAGCAATCTTAGTAACTTAAAACTGGAAATTTTGGCTGAGCTCACACCAGCCCCTACACTAAATATTTATGGCATACTGTACAACACAAATCAAAGGCAATTATTCACATTTCACAAATGGTATTCATAATGCAATATAAGGGCATTAGCTAAAAGTCAAAACAAATTTAGATAAAAGGGAGAAATACCCCTGCCATTTATGAAAAAAAAAAATACTGGTTAACAAGAACATAAGAACATAAGAATGTAGGAACACTGCAGAAGGCCTACTGGCCCATACGAGGCAGGTCCTTATCAAAACGACATCTACCTAAAGCTACTCAAGAAATAACTCCCGTACCCCTTGACACCAATCAAACCCAGCCCCTCCCACTCATATATTTGTCCGGTCTCTTCTTAAAGCTACCCAAGGTCCTAGCCTCTATCACCCCACTGGGAAGACTGTTCCACGCATCTACAACTCTGTTAGAAAACCAGTACTTACCTATGTCCTTTCTAAATCTAAATTTATCCAACTTAAATCCATTATTCCTGGTTCTTACCTGGTTCGACACCCTCAGTACTTTATTAATGTCTCCCTTTTTAAAGCACCCTTTCTACAGTAATACGTATTTTCCCCATCTCTTCTCACCATAAGGTAATAAATGAACTACTGTTGCAAACTGTTCATCTCTCTATAAGGGCATGCCTTGCCTCCTCTGACCTCCTTGAAACTATAGATTGAGCATATATGTATCTGAGTTTAAGATGAATGTACAGACTTGCATACATACTTATATGTGTGCTTTATTTGAGTCTGCGGACATGCAGTCTGACATAATTATAAATGTGTGAGCATGCTTTGTTTGAGTTTATAGGCTCTCAGTCTGACAAACATGTATATATATATATAAATGCATACACATTAGACAGGTCCAAAAATACATGTTAATTTTAAAACTTCAAAGGAAGTGCACTCCACAATGTAATTTTTATTCCACTATATGAGCCTGTATAAACCATACCCCCGGCTGGGATTGAACCCGCGGTCATAGAGTCTCAAAACTCCAGCCCGTCGCGTTAGCCACTAGACCAGCTAGCCACAATAAGATTCATCCAACTAGGTATATTTCTACACCATAGGAAAGTTAGCACAGGCACCTCTGTGACCACAAATGCAAGTTTTTACAGACGAATCTCCAGCTAGCGTGGCCGTGACGAACTCTAGCTCAAGTCCCTTCACTGCCGTCAACATGACTTAAGAAATCGTAATGACACGATTGCAAATAAACCATACCCCCGGCTGGGATTGAACCCGCGGTCATAGAGTCTCAAAACTCCAGCCCGGGCTGGAGTTTTGAGACTCTATGACCGCGGGATGTCAATCCCAGCCGGGGTATGGTTTATTTGCAATCGTGTCATTACGATTTCTTAAGTCATGTTGACGGCAGTGAAGGGACTTGAGCTAGAGTTCGTCACGGCCACGCTAGCTGGAGATTCGTCTGTAAAAACTTGCATTTGTGGTCACAGAGGTGCCTGTGCTAACTTTCCTATGGTGTAGAAATATACCTAGTTGGATGAATCTTATTGTGGCTAGCTGGTCTAGTGGCTAACGCGACGGGCTGGAGTTTTGAGACTCTATGACCGCGGGTTCAATCCCAGCCGGGGGTATGGTTTATTTGCAATCGTGTCATTACGATTTCTTAAGTCATGTTGACGGCAGTGAAGGGACTTGAGCTAGAGTTTGTCACGGCCACGCTAGCTGGAGATTCGTCTGTAAAAACTTGCATTTGTGGTCACAGAGGTGCCTGTGCTAACTTTCCTATGGTGTAGAAATATACCTAGTTGGATGAATCTTATTGTGGCTAGCTGGTCTAGTGGCTAACGCGACGGGCTGGAGTTTTGAGACTCTATGACCGCGGGTTCAATCCCAGCCGGGGGTATGGTTTATTTGCAATCGTGTCATTACGATTTCTTAAGTCATGAGCCTGTATTGTGTGCCAAAATTTGGATCATTTCATGCATATTTAAAAGTTTCGCAAAACTTCATCTTTGGTTTCTCTCTATCGCAGATGGCATCCTCAGCACTGGGTACACAAAGTGCATCGGAATGGTGATTAGTAGGGTGTCCCCTCGAGTTTTCTCAACTGCCTGGCTTCCGACGCGAGGTGACATACTTCGCATGTCACAATTCTTTCACCTGAAGCAGAACCTACTCTCACTTTTCGTTGCCTTGATCTACGTCCTGTTCTGGAACAAGGCTCTGCATGGCGTGCAAGGCTCTCGCAATGACTTGGACTTCCTCCAAACCCTTCAAGTGTATCCGGACAAAGAGATCATGAATGCTGCTGCCATCACCTTTGCATGCCATCTCTAGTATCTGGCAAAGCACCTGGTTGGATTGGCATTCTTTGATGAGAAAGTGGACATTGCGACAAAGCTCAAGATCATGACCAACCTAGAGTGGGAAAAGAAACCAAGGTGCCCCCATCACTTGCAAGGTGTCCAGAGATCGGAGTCAGACTGGAGGAGTTCATGACTAAGAGGACGCTGAAGATGTTTACCATCATTGCTGAGCAGAGGAAGGGGAAGGAAAAATCTTCCTTCTTGAATGAAGACCCCGAAATGTGGGAGACAAACACAACATTCCTGGAAATAAAGAAGTCTGCAGGCTCTTTGAAGGTTCGTGAACAACGCAGCAGAAAGGGCTGTTTCCCTCATTCAGACCTTCAATGTATTACTGACCAAGGACAAGGAGCAGAAACAGTACCTTCTTCACCTCATGGTGGATCACCGTCACCGCTTCCCTGCTCCGACCAAGGAGAGACTAATGAAGGAGGGTGATTGCTAAATTTTAGAGGGGCAGATTGAAGTCCCACCTTATTTCATCATTCAAGTAGGCACGAGGAAGCATTATTAAAAGAGAGTGAGTGCAGCGACGTCTTACTGGCAGATGGTGTGAGAAATGAGCGACTTGACACAACCTGACTTCACCCAACATGACCAGATGCTTTTGAGAGGCTAATAACTTTTTCCCTATATAAGATGGAGACCTTTTGAATCTGACAGTCTCATGAAATAAATTGTTACTAACCGTTTTTTCACCGAAATTCCACAGGAACCCCCCAGAAAACCATGGTATTTGAGGAGATGTTTGGTCAAATTTTGATGTTTGTTCAACTTGAGAAGCGAACTGTGTGAGATTTTCTGTGGTGACACTATGTTTTCTTTACTGAATTCAAAAGAGAAAAGATGGGAGAATACGATTAAGAATTTACATTAACGTTTTTTTCAACTTTCAGTGGGAGTAATAAGCTGGGTAAAACACCCATTTTCAGTTGAATACATAATCCAGTGGTTGGCGAGGGTCGATCAAAACCGACTATTTCTCATCCAAGAATTCATGACAAACATGTGCTTTATTTAAATTGAGTGGTATCTCCTATTCAATGCACATATAATCACTCGCTCGTTTCGCGCTCAACAAAGCGCTAAAAACTGGTTATTGATTCAGTCATTCTGCTTTCAGAGAAAACTGGAGCTATGCTATGTGAAAGAGGAACAAAAATTAAAATTTCTTCAGTTTCTCTTCTGTCGGCGAGATACACCTTTTTGTGCAACCCCTAAAATTGAACAAAATTTCCTGAAAATTGGTCTGAATGTTACTTAAGAACAGTGTAACAAAATAAAACTTGTGGAACGAACAATTTCACTGGTCTAATACACATACATATATATTTGCTATTTTTATGTGTATGGGAAAACACTCAATCCTCAGAGGTCATACTACATTTGAGGAATGGGGAATGGAAGGCAATTGGGTTTGATCCAAGGAAGTGGAGGATAACTTCATTTCCCAAGATCAAGCCCTTCATTGGCACCAAGGCACACATTCCTTAAAGAGTACAGAGTTCACAGATATGACAATTTCACCTGTTACCCTGATGAGTGGCCATATTGGTTACATTTTATTATTTTTTTATCACACTGGCCGATTCCCACCAATGCAGGGTGGCCCGAAAAAGAAAAACTTTCACCATCATTCACTCCATCACTGTCTTGCCAGAAGGGTGCTTAACACTACAGTTTTTAAACTGCAACATTAACACCCCTCCTTCAGAGTGCAGGCACTGTACTTCCCATCTCCAGGACTCAAGTCCGGCCTGCCGGTTTCCCTGAACCCCTTCATAAATGTTACTTTGCTCACACTCCAACAGCACGTCAAGTATTAAAAACTATTTGTCTCCATTCACTCCTATCAAACACGCTCACGCATGCCTGCTGGAAGTCCAAGCCCCTCGCACACAAAACCTCCTTTACCCCCCCCCCTCCAACCTTTCCTAGGCCGACCCCTACCCCGCCTTCCTTCCACTACAGACTGATACACTCTTGAAGTTATTCTGTTTCGCTCCATTCTCTCCACATGTCCGAACCACCTCAACAACCCTTCCTCAGCCCTCTGGACAACAGTTTTGGTAATCCCGCACCTCCTCCTAACTTCCAAACTACGAATTCTCTGCATTATATTCACACCACACATTGCTCTCAGACATGACATCTCCACTGCCTCCAGCCTTCTCCTCGCTGCAACATTCATCACCCATGCTTCACACCCATATAAGAGCATTGGTAAAACTATACTCTCATACATTCCCCTCTTTGCCTCCAAGGACAAAGTTCTTTGTCTCCACAGACTCCTAAGTGCACCACTCACCCTTTTCCCCTCATCAATTCTATGATTCACCTCATCTTTCATAGACCCATCCGCT